TTGTTTGAGCTTGTAAATATTTAAATTGTTTGATTGTCTCCCTGCCTTTGTAGCTTTAAAAAAATACTTGAAATATACGATAAAAATGTCAAATATATACGATAAAAACCTTCAAACATACGATAAAAACGTCAAATATACAATAAAAACGTCAAATATACGATAAAAACCTTCAGTTATACGATAAAAACCTTCAGTTATACGATGAAAATGTCAAATATACGATGAAAACGTACTGGTGCCAAAACACTGTGGAGAAATGCAGGAAACAACTAGCAGGATTTCCAAGTAAGACTCGAGTGAGTCAATTAAGTGATGCCAGTAACTGAAAACAAATTATTAAACTATAATCATCAAGTAAAATGAAAAAATAACTTCAGTTTGGGACAGTTGTGAGTAGAATCCGACCTTTGAACGATGAGGAAACAGAGTCTGAAATCAGGGGAAAGAATAAAACTGGTAGATAAAGAAAAGTTGGCAGACCTGCTGTGACCGTAACAGGAATGTAAGAAATCTTGGGATAGAGGAAGTAAACCAAAACCAAACAGACTTCCTTGAGCTAAAAGACCTTCGCCCACAAAACCCACGTAATGTACTTCCTCCTGCTACTTCAACTTTATGGCTGAAACCGAAGGGAGAACAGAAAAGCAACAAAAAAAAAGAGAGAATTAAATATCTTTTAACAGTTTTAAAGTTACAATCACACCTAGAGTTTACTCTCAATGGTATTTCTTTGTATATTTAATAAAAGGTTCGTGGTGGCCAACTGCAGGGTCAACAGAGGGGTTTAGTTTCCTTTTGTGTCAGGTTAACTTGAATTTTAGGTTTAGAGTTCAATCTTGCTTCACTTTTATTGTTCAGTGCTTCTTAAGAATGAGGAACTGATGTCGACATTTGGGCATGGCAACTTGTTTTAACACAAAATTGATCTGTCTTGAATAAGTCGTAACCAGAGTGTGAAGAATTAAAATGATATGTGCCTTTTATAATATGACAAGCAACAATAATTCAATATATCTTGATAAATAATAAAAAAAAAGAGGTATATTTTACTCACACTGCTGCTCGTTCAATCCCTTTGTGGTAGAAACAAAGAGTTTTGAAAATCTAATCTCGACTCACCAGGACAGAATTATAGTTATTTCTGACATCTGAGAAGCCTAACGAGACAACCTGCTGTGCATGATGTGAATCTGGCGCAATGATTTGCAATGAAAACTCTTGTAAACAAGGAGGGTGATCAGGGGTTTGAGGCCATTTTGCCTTAAAAAAAAAAAGAAAGTGCTATGAACTGGAGGAGCTAATTATCAAGGAATTTGTTGTGAACAAGAGCTTTGTCTGGCTGCTGCTGCTCGGGGAAACCACCCAGAACTGTTTGTTCTTTATCTCCTGAAGCCACACGAGGAACTCAACAACAGACGGGAGAAAGAGAAATAATGTCCCAACGTTAAGAACAACCGTCAACAACTTCTATTTAACTGGTTAGGTTTATCTTTTTGACGAGGCGTTTCTATATCTATAAGTAGCTGAATTAACGCAGACTGTACAGGCTTGTGTTTCTATGCTCGTGTACGCTGTTAGAACAGGATATTAATGTTCTTTTTCCGTTTTCTACAACAGGAAATAATAAACATAAACCAATAAATGTAAGCAAAACTTTTGTTTCCTGAGGATGTTCCCGTTCTCACTGCTGTCCCACCACTCGTTTTCATGTCTTCCACTTTTTGTATGTAGCTCCTCGGTTTATGTTCCCTCGACGCCACAACTCTAATTAAAGCGAGCATCTTTGAGTGTTCCTTATTTAGTCTCTTTTCCAGTTTTCATGCTACGTGGTGCACAGTTAGAGCACAGAGAGGCTGGGATCACATTTCAGAGAGACCCCACCGATACAGCTGACATATTATATAACAAATATCTTCACAAAAATGTCAGTTATGTGGTAAAACACTTAAAGCAGGAAATCTAAAATGAACAGGATGATTAATGACTAACTGCGTCTACTTTACTGTCAGTAGGATGGTTAACATTGGGTAATCACGAACCTATGCAGTACTGCTTCACAGCAAATACATACACACAAAGACAAACTGCTCAGCGAGCCTGGTGACCGATGACCCGTCTGTGTTAATCATCTACTTGGATATCTTCACCGTGAACTTTCCACATGATCTCCTCAAGACAACTTCAACAAATTAGTTAGATCATCACTCTCACCATAAACTAAAACCAAAAAAAAAACAGCCGAGCAATGAAAACAAGCACCCGTCTTTGGTTATGCCACTTTATTTGGTACGATGTTGGACCTCCACCGCTGTCTGCCCTCTCCGACCGTCGTTGACTGATACTAAATCCTTGTTATTTCACCCTTTGTGCGGGCTTATTTTACCAATATTCGCTTCCCAAAAGCACCACTATTACGGGTGGCAATGGCAATTAAGGATGGGACGATATAATCGCATATCACACTCAGATAATTGTATCGCTGTGAATTCCCGTTATCGTGATAATCGTGTGTAGCTCGTCGGCATACGGTCCTTTATCGATCTCCTGATTTACTTTGAATAAGAGGAGCCAGTCGTTACAGAAACCCTGAGCCTGTCACCGTGGCTGGAGGATCGGCTTGCCAGTTATATTCCTCACCAAAAAAAAAAGTTGCACCGGATGGTATCAAACCCAAAATAAAGAGAATATAAATAAGTGTTTCTTCACAAAATGTCACAGTAAAGTGGTTGCACTGTGTTTTACTGCCATTTTTAAAAGTATGAAACATATTTTTATCGTGATAATATCGTGTATCGCGATTCTTTTAGCCAAGATAATAATAATAATAATAATAATAATGTTATTGCCTAATAACAATGTCCCATATCAAACTAAAGTCAAACACAGCTTATCAATGTTATATCCAGTTGAATTAAACTCAATTGGATATAACATTAACATGTTTTCACAGTTTCTACTAGAAAAGTGTTGAATTATAATAATGTGAATAGTAGGGTAAGATTTTAATCACTTTTATTTATTATTTTTTTACCACTTATTTAAAATAAAGAGACGTGTCCGATATTGGAGACATCAGTCAGCAAGGACATCTGCTGCTTTGGTTAGCTCGTTAGCCAAGCTGGATGGGACGCAACTGTCAAAACAGTTAATTAAAAAACAACAAACATCTCCCTAAATAAGAAAGCTGGACCAAATCAAACAACCCCCACTCGTGTTTGGACTCCCTATCCGCCCGCACCGTGTCGCCTCATCGTCAGCTCGGGATAGTCAACTGACCTCTGTTAGCATGCAGCTCAGGCTTGAACCGAGGCCTACGTTGGGCTCGGGCTTTATGCAACCAGTGGTGGCCGTTCAGGGACATAAACAGGACGATCGTTACAAAAAACCAGCAGTGTGTTGTGCGATACCTTGACACAGTCGATGGGGTACATAAGGCAGTGCTCCATGACTCCAGCCACGGATCCCGCCAGCATGTGAGTGCCGGTGGCGGCTCCCTGAGGCAGCCCTTCGTAGTCTATTTCAGGCTCCGCGGAGGTCGAGGGCTCCGGGGTTGCTCGGTGCAACGACGGGGGTTTAAAGTCCTGGTCCCCTACCATCCTCGGCGGCGAAAGAGACCCGACAAATCCCCCCGTGGCGTCCAGGAGCCGGCCGCCCAGCCATACCCCGGCTGCGGCGCCTGTGACCCGGCTGTCCACGCCCGGTGTTTCCACGGACGTTCGCCGGGACACGAAGCCGTCCGCTTCCATTCAACAGCGCGGGAGGGGAGGGAGAGGGGGGGGTTTAGTCCGTTAACGTTTATTCAAAATGAAGCCTTTCTAGCGACCCCGCCTGTTGGTGTGGTCTCCCCGGTGGTTCAACTGCTGTCCCGGCCGACCGGAGGAAGTCTTGGCGGGTCGCGGCAGCTGTGGAGAACCGGGAGTCCAGGCGGGTGGGACTTCGGTGGGTTTGTCAGTGAGTCACGCCAGAAGCCGAAGCTGATTGGACGAGCTAACTGCCAATCACTAATGCTTATTTCTGATTGGCCAGTTCGGTCGTAAAAAAATGAGGCGGGCACATGAAGTGGGTGGTGCGTTCAGGGTAAATGGGCGTGGACGATTTTGTAACACCAAGGGGGTCACGTGTATGTGCGGGAAGCGTAATAAACTTTATTTACCTTGTATTATTTATTTAACTAATTTACCTTTATTATTCAATTTGTGTTTACCTGTTTGTAAATATATATATTTTTTAAAGTTGTAATTATAACCATAAAAATATAGTAAGAGTAAAACACATAACTTAACTTTTCCACGTCCTTATCAGAATTTATTAAAAGCTGTTCACTCAGTATAATTTAACACTAAAGTTACACAACATATAAGGTTATTTTCTCTACATATGATACACCCTCATGTAAACAAACAAAATGAATGACATGCATCAGTAACTACAGCAATTATGAGGACATTAACATTAATGAGAAGCTGTTAAGGACATTTTTGGGATAGGCGATTCATGGAGGGGACAGTGAGGTACATATAAGCTCCTGTAGAAACTACACAAGTCACTGTAAACTCATTAAATCCCCTCCATTGTTGACAAGCTTCCACAAACAAACTGTGCTCTACTGAGAGAAAACTATTTTCCGATACTGACATTTGAGCATCAGTGTATGATTTTGTGTCATGAAACTGTAGAAGTTGTAAAACAGTCCACATGGCAGCATGTGTTCAATAGATTCTTCTATTGAGCCAAAATAGGCCTCTGATCAGTCAATAATAGGATTTATCATCCTTCCAAGTTCCCTAAATCTCCCAAATCCCTCCAGTTGAGACAGCTGGAATCTTCACGTGTCTGTATTAATTAAAAAAATAAAACAATTTAAATTATTTATATGTAAAAAAAAAAAATACATATAAAAAAAAAATAATTCCCACGCGTAGTAGTTGTGATTTTTCCTACAGCGCCTGAATGCGGCAGACGTTCATCATCACGCATTCGATGACGTAGCCAAACGGGCCGAGCGGAAGTGTGTTGGATTTTCTTTTTTTTTCTTCTTCTTCTCTCCGGTCGTTTCCTCTTCTGTGGCTCTTCGTCCTCTTTTAAAAAAAAAAAAAATTTAATCTCCGTGAAGTAACGGCGACAGCGAGAGACAGAAACAACATTGTGTCGACGGAAACAACACCTTTCCACCCACTAACGGTCTGAGCTGTGATGGCGGACGGTGGGCAGGTATAGGTGAGCGACAACAACAACAAACAACAACAACAACATATGGTTTTATACTGTAATGGTACCAGTAACACTAGTTAGCCGGTTTCTAACTAAACAGTCATTTAAAAGCCTGTTGTAAGATAATGTGGGGGAACACGTAACATGTGTTCTGTGTCTGTTTCCGTCTTGTTTGTTTCTTATCTTGTATAACTTGTGGGATAAAGCCTGTTTACTCCTCCTCTGATGGCCTATATTACACTGTTGAGTAAGTCTTTACTGAGCCTTTATCTCCCTCTTCTTTCCTCCAGGGGCAGGAGAGAAAGTCTGAACCCTGAGCAGGATCCTAAATGAGGCTGCAGGCACCATGAGCTGACGACTGTGACATCTTGTGTTTTATATTCTTTTTACATATGGCAAGGTAAACAATGGAGAACAGCCTCTGCAAGAGCTTTTTTTTTATGTAAGAATATGTGGTTTAATTGAAGTCCACAGTGTTTATAGTTGTTTTTTTTTCCTCCACAGGATCACTTTTTCCTGCCTGCCGGCGTCCTGGTACTGCAGCGTGTCCCTGTTGTCTCTGGGCTGCGCTCCCAGGCAGAGGCTGCTGCTGCTGCTCCTCTTCATCACTTCCGCCGTCCTCCTCCTGGGAACCTACCAGAGTAAGCTGTGGGGCCCGCAGCGACGGCCCGGGGCCCGAGTCAACATGTGAGTAGACCCATTCGCTGAAATACGTTGGGCGTGAATGGAGAGGCAGTCTGGCCCAGGTTGGAAGTTTACAGTGTGTAAATGTCTGTCAAGGATCAACAGTGATAGATTTGAACAAGTTTATTTCCTTTTCTTTTGTTTTGCCCCTTTCTGTCACTCTGCAGCTGTCGCTTTCGATTAAAGGCAATAAAAGCCCCCACAAATATCCAACAATAACCCCGATTTCAAAGTCAAATGTCCTTTTCGTGTGATTGGCTGTTTAATGCAACCCTCCCCTCGTTCCTGTGAACCTTGTAGCAAGACTGGAAAACTCTTGTTAAACAGCCTGCTGATAAAAGATTAAAGGGCTGTGAACTTGCATTGTGAGACCGACTGCAGGTGCTTTCTTTCAACCAAGGACAGATACAGATACACCGATTGCTGCTATGAGTTAAAGCCACACTGTAGTTGTATTTGCAGGTGTTCAGTGTCTCTTAGTATGTGTTTTTATACGTTTAGTTTACAGACATGCAGTGAAAGGATTTTATCCAAAGCACCTTACAGAACCGGGGATATATTTATAGTGTTTGTGTAGCCTGAAGGAGCCTTTGGTATGGGGGTGTTGTTTTGTGAAGGACCCGAGATGCTTACTGCCTCAGTGAAGTACAGAATTTTATGTAGGTTTCTTAAGATTTATAATTATGTAAGTCTTGGCCACTTATTCCCGAATCATGTTTTGATAGCGCTGCTTATTGAAACTGGAAGATACGGATGTGTCAGTGAGGTTACATTGCTTTAAATTACATGAGAAGATGTATATTTAGACTTTGTTTTGTTTGAGTTATGTCTGTTTTAAATTTGTATGTTATGTTTTATCTTGTAAAAGAAGCATGTATGTATTTTAATATCTCCTGGGACATTATATATATCTATACATATGCTTTTCATATTTGTCTGAGGTTAATATATTGTGTCGTTAGATGCTGGTGGGTTCACATACTGGAATGTTTGGTTTGTTGTTGATGAATGTGTCTGAATATTTCCATGAGGTGTGGGTCATGCAGCTTTCCAGGCATAAAAAATAAAACTATTCATTCCCACGCTTGGTTTAAGTACAGCATATTAATATTGTTTCTCACAATGTTTATGTGTTCTCTCCTTCAGGTACCTGTCCATCGCAGAGTCCATGGAGGCCACTGACGTCCTCAACCCTGCTCTGAATTATGGGATCGTGGTGGACTGTGGCAGCAGTGGTTCTCGGGTCTTTGTGTACTACTGGCCCCCCCACAACGGGAACCCTCACACCCTGCTGGACATCAGACAGATGAAGGACCGCGACCGTAAACCAGTCGTCAAGAAGATCAAACCTGGTGAGGAAGTGTAAGGTGGAAGGTTTCTGAAGAGCTATTGTGAGGCTCTGGTCATCGTTATCTTCTGGCTCCAGACGTGGAGCTGAGGCAGGGTGATATAATGCCTTTAAATATGCATAACTTTAACCCTCAATATAATTTAAACAGGTGAGTTACATTAAAATCAACCCCCTGTACAGTTGTCATGAACGGGGAAATGAGATATAGAGACTGAAACCATTTTTTGAACGAGGCTGTAAAGGTGTGCATTTTAATACGGAGCCTTATGGAGATTGACTCACTTCTGGAACCTCGAGTGGCCGTTTGAGGACATGTTGGTTTAATATGCCAACCGCAGAGGTCACCGCCTGGTCATAACACATACAAACCAATAGGCAGACAAAGCGTAGCTCTTAAATCTGTATAGTCGTGCATTAATGTTTCTACTTTCCTCCGTGGACAACTGTAGCTCCTTTGTGTGTTATAGACTAATTCTTTCCAGCGCATTCTGGGAAAGAAAATGGAACAGTCCTTGATCAACAACCAGCAAAGCCAAAAGCAGCAACTCGTAGTTTCTCTGTATTTTTAATGATTTCAGTTTCGTGCAAATTTGGTCAAACATCATCTCTCAAAGTCTCTCCTGTTTCTGTGACTTAACAATGGAGCCATTGAGACCCAGACAAGTGATCGGATCATTCATGGACAATAGAGAGTAGGAGGGAGGAGAAGTAGTAGAAACCATTACCCTGTAGCTGGTTTTCTTCATATGATAAACTCACTGATTAAATCTCAAGAGAATTTCCGATGACGTTAGTTTGCGAAGAACAGTCTTTAAGTCATGTCAGCAGAAAGGACCATGTGACTTTGTTTTATCTCAGTCACAGCGGACAGATTAGATACACTGAGTTTGTTCCAGCAGTGGCAGTTAAAGGCCACGTGGCTCTTTGAACCATGGGACAGCGTGTGACAACCTTTATTTACAGGAATGACAATGTGGGCTGCACAGTAATAATTGGATTATGAATTTAATTATTAATGTGCGTTTCTCATTTCATTTTAACCCAACCTATAAATTGACTGATGTTATAAGCCAATGTTAGCGGTTGGAGTCAGCGTGTCGACTGATCAGTAACAAAAAAGAAATGCCAAATCTATATTTTATGTTTGAGTTAGACAGTTTAATAGTACGTCACCAAAGAGCAGTGACAAGTTGATTTTCCCAATTCTTTTTTGTTCAAAAGTGAGTATGGTCAAAATATTGTTGTCTTAAATATACTAACAATATTTAAAGTGGCTATAATTGATATTTCTATAATGACAATGTATCAAACCACACATTAACGCTTGTTTATAGTTAGTTTCATCTCATTGTGAGCTGTCCGGCCTGCAAATGGTGTACTTTGGTTCACTCTCGCTCAGCACCAGGCAGCAGACACCGTCAGAGACTAGCTGGTGAACACACAGGAGCATTTAGCAGCTAAAGAGCCAGATATTTCCCTCAGGAGTTGGTAGAGACCAAAGAAATTGGTATATGGTGATGGAAACTCGCTACAGGGACATATTTGATGTTAAAAAAAAAAAAGTTGGGAGGAGATCAAATGAACTATTTAAATATTTACAAGCAGAGTTATTTACATAGGCTAAGCTAATAGAAACACACTAATCCAAAGAGCCGGATAGAAAGAGTTAGAGATGAGTTCAAATGTTCCCCACACGCCTAACTGACTGACTGCTCACAGCACAAGAGGAGAGGGAGAGACCCGTGGGCTGCGATTACTCTGAGCAGCACGCACGGGAATGTATTACAATATAATATATTTGAATATATTTCTTGCCTTTTCCCAGATTGTCTGAATAAGTCTAAATGTGTTGCTCGTCACTTTTTAGAAATAAATTAAGAAAGGTCTGAAAAATAGCTAAATCGCAAAGTTGCAACACTGGTTTCTCTATTATTGATTTTGTGTGTGTAAGCCTTTTATATACAGTCAATGGTGTAAGCCAGTGTGTAGCATAGAGCTCGTTCTGGCCACCTCAAATGTTTCAAATTTGAACACCTAACATGAAATACAGGCTATCCCACGAATAATAGTTTGATTTGTAACGGTAAAAATTCTGCTTAGTTTTGTTGTTTCGTGCTGGATTTTGTTAAAAATCTGTTGGTGTGTGTGTTTTTGTGTTTCTCTCAGGTATCTCCACCCTGGCGAAGAGCCCAACGCAGGCCAGTGACTACCTCCAACCTCTCCTGGGCTTCGCTGCTGCTCATGTCCCGAAGAACAAACACAAAGAAACACCTCTGTACATCCTCTGTACTGCTGGCATGAGGCTGCTGCCAGAGAGGTAGAACAGCATGTGATTGTGTACTGTGAACTGTTTTTAGTGTTGGTTCTTTTAAACAAAATGATTGTGTGATTAAAATGTTTTAAGTTGAACTATTATGTGATTCAGTTCTCCTGTAATACCCATTTTCTTTTCCTCGTCTTTATTGGTGCATTTAAGGAAGCTGTTGTTCCAGTTTTGATCCTAGTTCACTGATGAAAAGTGACCATTTTTATTACCTGGTGTTTGTGTTATTGTTGTCCCACCATCTGTATTTATGTTATATTTCTTTCTTTCTCTGTACGTAGCCAGCAGGCAGCCATCTTGGAGGACCTGGTCACCGATGTTCCTCTGGAGTTTGACTTCTTGTTTTCCCGTTCCCATGCTGAGGTCATCTCTGGGAAGCAGGAAGGTTAGATGACATGCTTGTGTGTGCTTGGACGCTGTTACTGGCTCGTGTTGGTTTGAGTGTATACTTACTGCATTCACTGCGACAGAATTATCCTTAAACCCGTCATTTCTAATTGGTGCCTGCCTGTTTTCTGTGTCTCCCCATCGTGGCTGTGATGACATGTTCCTGCTGCCTCTCAACTCCTGAAGGAGTGTATGCATGGATTGGCATTAATTTTGTATTGGGCCGCTTTGATCATGCCGATGAGGGTGAGTGTGAAGGTTTAATTTTAACAAGACGTATCTTTTATCACTTTCTTTCAGTACAAAATAACAAAACAATAACAGAATTTCTTCATTATTCTCAGAGGACGCCACAGTTGAGGTGACAACAGGCTCTCAGAACCAGAAGCCAATCAGCAGGCGGCGCACAGTGGGCATCATGGATATGGGTGGAGCCTCACTGCAGATTGCCTATGAGGTGCCCAGTGCCATCACCTTCAGTTCACCACAAGAAGTAAGGAAGTGCAGTGAGACATCTGTGACTGGAGGAGTAGCAGTGTTAACTCCTTATTACATTATTAGGGCTACAAATACTTGATTAATCTGCTAATGATTTGATTTATAAAACTTGGAGCATCATAATAAACCAAAGTGGAAGATGATGTCTTTAAATGTCTTTTTTTTGTCTGACAAACTGTCCAAAACCCCCAAATATTCAGTTTACGACTATCGACTAATGGACTGATTGTTCCAGCCCTCGTGTTGGTCTGGACAGCTGGTCCCGATCTGCAGCAATGTGATGTCTCTATGGTTTCTTAGGAGGAGGCAGGGAAGAGTGTTCTCGCAGAGTTTAATCTGGGCTGCGATGTTGAGCACACACAACATGTTTACAGAGTCTACGTCACCACGTTCCTCGGCTTCGGAGGAAACATGGCCAGGCAGCGCTACGAGGACCAGCTGGTCAACAACACACTGGCCAAGAACAGGTTCAGACTCACATTCATACATACACAATGTATTGTTGTTTGGGCCATGTGTTTATATATTATTATATTATCTATATATGTTTTTTTAATGGCAATAAGTTAATAACAAGACTACGGTCTAGATGACTTGTAGCCTCTTTCATCTCCTCTAATGGCAGTTTTATTTATTAGTTATTTATAATCAACACTGTATTTCTTCTTCAACCCCTGTCAGTTACATCTTTAGTCAAGACTTTTATTTCAAGCTTTAATGAAGCTTGTGAAAATATTTAGCAGTTTTTCCATCAGCATGTTGAAACTAAACCTCTGAGCTGTGTTTTCCCTTTGAAAACAGCGCTCTCCTCCTGCTTTGTACCATAAAACACATTGAATATTTTCTGTAAAATGCAACCAGGTGGTACATCATGTAAAATATTGTTTACAAGCCGGTGAGTAGTGGCAGTCTGTTGTTTATGGTAATTATCCCCAAATGAATATGGTAAAGATGCTGTAACTTGTGAAAATGTAAATGCTGCTGGACCCCTCCTTTCTTAGTGCTCCTAAAATTTAAATGATGTAACCATGTTCCTGTGTGTCCAGGTTTCTAACCACACAGACGGGCCTGAGTGAGGACAAACCGTACCTGGACCCCTGTATGCCGGTCGATCTGTCGGACACAGTTGTGAGAGACAACCGCACGTTGTTTCTGAGGGGTCAGGGTGACTGGGCTCGGTGTCAGGAGGCCGTGCGACCCTTCCTGGGTCTCCATAACGGCACCATGTCACCAGGGGGCGTCTATCAGGTACGAACGCTCCTGTCAATCTCCAGTTTAAAGAAACACAAATGGTACCTTCTAAATTCAGACGGAACAACCTTTGATATCCTGATTTTAAAGGGGAGTTATTTATTGATGAACTCATATTGAAATCACTACTCACTGGACAACCTGTTTTGAGTCTCCCATGAAGTAAAAGTCCCAAAAAATTACCTTTTCAGGCTCCCATCAACTTCAGCAACAGCGAGTTTTACGGCTTCTCGGAGTTCTTTTACTGTACGGAGGACGTGCTGAGGCTGGCAGGACACTATGACAGCGAGAAGTACTCCAGAGCCGCGAAGGTATCCAGACAGCACAACCACTAAGTCTTTTCACAAGTAACTTTCCCTCAAAGTCTGAATTCATTGTTTTTTTTTGTTCATTGAAAGTTTACGGGTTGTGTTTGTTTTGTTTTTTTCTGCAGGAATACTGCTCCACCAAGTGGTCGATATTAAAACAGCGTCTGGACAACAAGCTCTTCTCTCCACAGGCCGACATAAGCAGACTCAGGTAAGTTCATCTCTCTTCTCAAACTGTCTTCATCCTGATCCTGAGTCTCAGTCACATCTTTCATTATATTCTGGGTTTCTGTCCCATGGTGGTTGTCGCTTGTTCTATTCTAGATACCCTTTGTTCATTCTTGTGTTAATTGTAAGCAAAACAATCACACCTCAACTGTGACATCCTCTGAGAATGCATCACTGTGGTGTGCCAGTGTTTCTTGGCATTTAGTGGGATGCAGATTTTCCACAAGGAGGTGCTGTTCAGTCAGTCAGTCTGTCATTGGCTAGTTCTACATCCACCAGCCTGCACCTCCAACAGAAAATAAAAGTAGCAGCAGCAGTTTAGACCTGCACATGTAGACATACAATATTACCACCTACAGGCAAATAAAGGTCTTTTTATCACTGCTGTTTCTGTGTATACATATGGTAATGGTTAGTCTCTCAAACCTCCAGTTAAATACTCAAATAGAAATTCAGTTTAACTAATGACTGTAAAAGACTAACGTTTTTTTAATGAATTTGTAATTTCTTTCTTTCTAAATATAAAGCATGTTCAGTTTTGGCAGGGACTTGACTTTTGGACATTTAACACTTGCTGACAACTGAACCTTTTCTGCTCAAAAAATTAACATTTAGCAGCTGTAACACTCTCAGTATCTGCATGTGGCAACCCACAAGTGTCAAATTGGAGAAGCTGTTACTTTTTCCGTCTGTAGGTGGCACCGGTTGGACTGAAACCGCTTGAGGTGCAGCTGTGCAACTGGCTGATATTCACAGACACGAGCAAAATAAGCACCCATTAATCTGTCCCTCTGTGACACGTCATCCTGCTCTTGATAACACAGGTATCAGTGCTTTAAGTCGGCCTGGATGTACGAGGTGTTGCACTCCGGCTTCCGTTTCCCCACCGACTATCCAAGTCTGAAAACAGCCCAGCTGGTTTATGACAAGGAGGTGCAGTGGACTCTGGGAGCCATCCTGTTCAGAACCCGCTTCCTGCCTCTCAGGTAATCATTACAACAGATACATATAGACCAGGACAGCACCTCTGACAAGCCCTACAGTGAAATATATCATGCTTTCAGGGGAAATACCACTGAATACCACCTCCATAACACTGTCATCATTTCTTTTGAATCTACTTCTCCTCCCGTCCCTGTAACCTTTTTAACCTTGAGGTTTTGGAAACAAAGCACAGTATGCTAAGTATTTCAGAGGAATATGCAAAGGGTGATAGAAGATGGAAGGCTAGTATTCTTTCATTATATCACGGTGTTTCCCCCCTTCTTCCAGACTTAAGTAGAAGGTATTTATAGATGCATACAAAACCTATGTTCCCTGTTTAAAATCATAGCACAGTGGCTGAATTTGACTTATTTTGATACTTCATTTTGAAAAGTCTGAGCTTGAAAACATGCAGGTTAGTGTAGGCTGAACTTTTGCTATTAAACATCGCAGAAAATAGGCGTACTGTATGGGACCAATGCTTTCGGTTTTCATAGTAAAGGACACACTGTTACTGTTATTGTGTTCATCAGTAAGGATTAGCGTTATGTATGAAACGTGCCAGCGTATTCATGCGGTCTGCTGCCCCTCATGTCATCTCCAGGGACCTGCAGCAGGAAACGTTGCGGCAGAGCCACTCCAGCTGGTTGCGCTCCTCCTTTGTGTACAACCACCACCTGTTCTCGCTCTGCATCCTGGTGGTGGTGCTGGCCATCCTGCTCTACATCCTGCGCCTGCGGAGGATCCACCAGCGGGAGCAGCGGCAGGCCGAGGCCCTGAACCTCCTCTGGGTTGAAGAGGGAGAGGCTCTCCTCCCCTGAGAAATACATGTGTGTTGGGGAGTGTCCAGACTGATAACCTGCAGGGTCTTGTCCAAACCACTAAAACTAAAGAATGCCAGTATGGAGGACAGATAATAGGAACCTGGAAATTACTCACCTGCCAAGGGTGTGACTGGGTTAATGGATATACGGGAAGACCCAAGATTTTACTGCGTGGAAAAAACATCACAGTACAGAGACAGTTTAATGAGCCTGGAAATCAAACTGCTCTGTATATTCTTGATTGTGCAGCTTTAAACACAGAGCTCATCCCCAATCGGACAGATGTTCTCTGTGTTTACTCTCTTCTCTTTTAAGACCATTTTGGAAGAAAAGAATCGACTTGGCAATTCTCCAAAGATTCAGTGGATTGATAACTGCTGAGTGAGACAGACAGAGGTGGTAAAACTCCCCGGCAGAGGAGCTTTAACACAGGAATATGGATTTGTTGAAGACGATTCAACATCCATATGGGAGAAGCTGCCTGAAAGAAATGCAACTCGTCCCTCAGTGAGCCTGTTAGGATTCGTTTCTTTCCATGAAGAAATAATTATGTGGTAGGAAGGTGATCACAACACCTGCTGGCAGCGGACGGTCGCTCGCTCTGTCCGCAGTGAAACCCTCTCAACCAATCCAATCGCTAAAGAGTCTGACATCAACATTCACCTTCACTTAATGCTTAATCTGGCACCACCAAAGTTACATTTCAGTTCATGACAGGACACCTCCAAAACCATCAATCTGTCTTCCTATAGCTGTACTTTAGGCCGTCCTTCCAGGATTTTGTTTTGCTTTATTGGTTTTATTTTTTACAAAACTGTTGAGCCTTTGTTTTCGGGATAATTCATTTAAAAATTGAAGGCAACTTGTTCCAGTGAGAATAAAATCACCAGTAGTTTGGTGACATACGGCTCAATGAAAGAGAGAAATGCGTGGCCCAAAGTTTAGCTAAGCCTTTTATGTAATAATTTAGGCTAATAGATCGTATCGGATTACACTTTTCCCTTCGTTATCCAGTCCGGACAGATACCAATACTGAGTATCGGATCTGCATATCCCTACCAGCTGCACCAATGTTAAAATGCTAAACAACATGGTAGTGTTAGCTGACATGTTACAGTAAGCTCAACTGTAACAGGATAGTAATTTTACTCATATAGGAGTTCAATGAAGTCTAACTTAGACTGAAGAAAGCAGAGCAATATCTGACAATGTGGAGATGATTTTGAGAAGTCTGAAATGTCCCAAAATGGCCACTGTACCTTTCATACACTTCATATCGTCTGTATAATTTCCTAAACTTTTTTTTTTGGGGGGGCTCCAGAGTTGTCTACATCTGTTCCTTTCCTTCAACATGCACATATGATCTTTGAGTATCTTCATCTGACATAAACCTGACATTCCCACCTGCGTATAGAGAGAGCAAAGGTAAAGACGCTGTCACTTTGCCGGGAGCTGATTTTTATCTAACCTGAAATCTCAAAATCCTTCTTTTACCACTACTAGCAGTGGAAACGTTCACACAGCAAAAGTGATTTAGCATTGCACTTCAGTGTGCGGTGATATCATCACAAGTGCAGCATTGCTTTTCTGCCATCAAAGATATTGTTTCATCTACACCTCTGTACGTCCCGATGGGATCATTTCCTCGAAAGCAATCCTGCAGACCGATGATGTCAGCTGCCGAGCTCAGGCCTCAGATTGTGCTTTGATACTTGAATGCCACTGTTGTCCTGCCCAGACCCCCGCCAAGCACAGATTTCTATCAGAGGAAAGACGGAGCCAGAAGGCATTTTAGCCCGAAACAAGCGGAGAGATCTGCTCAGTGTTTGGATGAAGGCGCTGAAAGCAGACGAAGACCCCGGAGGCCTGATTAAAGCAGATGCCGTCTGATTTCTGAACGCAATAACTCCATGAAAGGGAAGAAACTTGTCTCCTGCCAGTGACCAAAATGGATGCTGGGCCGTGGCAAGAAGTACAGAAAAGATCTATGGTTTTCAAAATGAACTACTTTAAAGCCATTTCTGAGGAAAAAAGCCTTACCCTGAGAGAAGGGGTCTATTTTATTCCGTTTTTATGTCTACTGTATTTCATAGCTGTAAATGAAGCCAGTGTTTTCTAGTTGTTGTATTTTTTGTGACTCGTGGCATTGTGTTATGTGCCGACAGACTGATGCACCAAACCATGACGATGCAAATATGTGTCTGAGCAGCACCTGGTGAAACTTCCTGAGAAGTTACATAATGTGTCGATCCCACAGTGGGAGATTTTATATGTCTGCATTTGATTTGTAATTCATTTTTACTGATTTCAGTCGGATGTGTGGGACACGATTCGTCAAACTAAATGATGATGAGTTCATGGTTTTTAAAGAAAATGCTGTTTTGTAACCTGTGGTGCTGATGTTGTAAAAAAAAAAAGAGAGATGGAAACTGTCTGGGAACTTTCTACAACTTCTGTACTCTGCGCTCTCCTTGCTTTTCTATCCGTCCTGACACAGATGAGTCGCGACATGTCCTTGTCAAACTGTCAGTGTGTGTTTGTAACCTTCGTCTCCTCATCTGTACTTCAAAAACACTTTTCCACTTGTGAGTCCTGGACCAGCTGTGTGAGTTTCTGATGCAGCAGCCAAAAGTCTGAACGCTGACAGAGTGATTTCTGTTTTATTTCCTCCTCTACCTTCCACTGTAAGGTAACTGTCGACCTCTTTCTGACACGGGACCAGCAGTTGAGTGCGTCTTTCCAGCGCTGGGCATTGTGCAATGTTGAACAGTAATTCACTGAAGGGGAAACTTGACTTCGATGTTTTTAATTAAGGTACCTTTTTAACATCAATGTGAATAGAAACAATTCCAATCCAATAAAGGATCATTTTTAATGAAATCACGTTTCGAGTGTAGTCTGTCAGGATTTCGGGGCAGTTAAGCCCTCAGCACTGTCTTGCAGGCAGTCTCAACCTTCATGCCGCCATCAATCAACGTTCACCGAGGTCAGAAATGATGGAACCCTTGGGTCTTGTGGTGAAAAGAGGAATGTCACCTTTTGAGAAAACAATCTCACCACAAGATCCATTCAGTGGCTTCTCTGGAGCTTTTCCATCATGAGTGCTGACAACTGGGATATGATCAAAAGCTCTACAACAGCTACTAGATGGAACTTGTGAGATTGTTTTCTCAACTGCTTTTCCAAGGTCAGGTCTGTATGAATCTCAATAATATACCTGTTTTAGAATAGCAGAGTTGTTTAGGAGTTTAGAGTAAAGTCTCTACTCTCTGAATCGATCAGTATGCTGCAACTGAAGTCAGACGGTTGAACACACACACCTTTCCAACATCAGAATTCGAAGGACTGCGTCTGTCAGACATTTACCTCCACTGGATGTTTTGAGGATTTAAACTTACTTGAGCTTTCACTTTGGATTTTCTGTCACTTTTTGTGAGTATAACAGAGAGTAGAATTATGAACGCCTTCTAGAAAGGGTGTGCCTTTATCCCCATTTGTACATTTTATTGCATCTTTCCTCCCTGTGACGGCAGGCAGCTATAAACTCCTCCGCAGTTCCAATGAAAACTGTCCATGGTGGGGTTTGTGGATTAAACATATCTCAAAATGTGGGCCAAATAAAACAAAACCAATCTGCATAGTTTGATACTATTAAAGATAAGTGAAAAAGCAGATTTAATTTTTTATTTTATTTGGTTTAACCCCTCTAAATTAGGTTCAGTGAGTTTAGTTCTGGGATTGTGTATCCCAAAAGTACAACCTAGGAGTCAGTATAACAGTTCCTCCTCTGTAAGACAACACTGAGGGCTAAAACGCCCCACGCACAGAAGGAGGGGAATGATCTGCAGTTGGCGCTTGTCTACAATAAACTGGTATGAGTTGGATCCTGCGGTGAATCGATGCCAGCCTGTAAAACAACCAGTGCCAGCACACGTCAAAAAGGCACACAGACCCGATCCTCGCCTTCATTCCTTCAGGATGAAGTTATGTAAAAAAAAAAAGCTACTTTTATAACCGATGCAGTGACTCTGTGTGGCCTGCTGGTGGTGCTGTACAGCATTCATGAACCTGGTGATCCCTCAGTGGAAATACACACACATCCTGACTTCAAGGTGCTGCAGGATGTGATGCACGGAAGACAAAAGGGAGCACTTTAAATTGATCACACTGTCACATCGCTGCCGTTAATACCTGACGACGAATGAGCAAAAGTGGCTTAAAAAGGCAGATTCTGATAATACTCATGCATTGTACGTTGAAGGAACACAGCCCAATTTTTATTTTAAAAATATACTTTAATACAACAGCTGCATATAAATATTAAAATATACATTATACAGGTGTACAGTACACTCACACAAAACCAAAACAAAAAATATTAGGCTTCTATTTGTACGGCACTTCTTGTATTTTATTTTTTTTGTATTGTTTTTTATTTTTTGTACTATTTTCTTAAAGGTTACTTACTGACGAAGGAGTTGTACATAAAGATGTGTTAATGTGTTAACAGGTCCGAAGTATCACTGTAGTATTGTGATTACTGGGAAGGACAGACAGAGGGAGAAGGAGGGAGGAAAGGGGAAGAAGAGAAGTAAGGTTTGCTGTACAGTATATGACATGGCATTGTGGAATGTTTGCTAGTCTCGTGACTTTCCTCCCATCATTCAGGATGTTTTCAGATTAAAGAACCAGCAGGGATGTGATCATTCAGTCTTTATTCTCTCCACTGGATGTCCCCCCCCCGCTCACATCCACAACCGGCCTTCGATCTCATCTCATCGATCTCGACAGAAACGTCTGACTTGGTTTTGGTTAAAGCCACGAGGCGCCGCTCATTCATCATTATTACATTGGAGATTCAGAGCTAAGCATCTGTGTTTCAAATCTCTGGTGGTGTTTCAAAAACCAAAAGAGGTCTGGTGACCTCTTACCACCCGCTGTTCCCCACGTACGACTGCGAGTACAATTCAAAGTCACATAAACGTGTAATATATGTGTCTGTAGAGTTTGCTTTTGTACGAAGTAAACGAAATATAAAATGTTTATTAGTGAGCTTTTGAGGTGCTTTTAGGTGGATTTTGTTGCCTTTAGACGAAGCCAGGCTAGCCGCTTCCCCCCGTTTCCTGTCTTTATGCTAAGCTAAGCTAACTTGCTGCTGGCAGTATCTTCATATGTACGAACAGATTTGAGCCACATCAATTTTCTCATCTATCTCTCAGCAAGAAAATGAACGAGCGTTTTCCCCAAAATGTAAAAATATAACTTTAAATCTTAAAGCTACAGTGTCTCAAGGGTGTGATGATCAATCTATTTTATTCTAATTCAGGTCAACCCATTCCCAAAAAGGGGGGTTGGGTTAAAGGTTTTGAAGGGATTTGAATCATCAGTAACTCTTCTGTCTATTCCAAAGAATATTGTGTCCACTGCAGAGAAAAAAAATATTTTTGAACACTATTTTCTACTGAAGCCAATTTTACCAATTCAACGTCAACTACAATATTATCTGCTCATAAAAGTACCGATTTAATATATTTTTTCATGTTGGTGGCAGAATCCGCTTTTAGAACGTAAATAACATCAGACACATTACATTTCACACAATGATTAGTAAAACTGTAAATTGTGGATCGATCTCATCTGATTAATACTGTCTGCTGAGCAAGTAGATGTGTCACCTCCAGCAACCATCTGCTTTCGGATTACGAATGGACTCACTTGGGAATCAGGTTACATTTTTTTTTATTTTGCAGCAGACGAAACATTTTCTGATCCGTCAAGATGGAGAAGATTCCTTGAAAACAACACTAAGTGTATCAGGACTGCACTATTAATCGAAATATTATTGAAATCGCAATATGGCGATATGCAAATCACCGAGGTAACGTGTGACAAACCGCATTATAATGAAGTACTGCAGAGCTGCAGAGATGCTCTGGCCTACAAATCTTGTTCTCCAGGTGTAATGTTGGAGAGAGACTCCATTATCATTTTAAATTGGATTTATTTCAGTGAAAATGAATCGCAATATGATTTTTATACCGTATCATGCAGCCCTAGTTGCTACATCCCATGAAAACAGTGAAAAACACAGAAATCTCTCAAGTTAAATGTCCCAACTTTGGCAGAACATTGTGCGTTTATGTAGGATCTCATCGCTCATATTAAGAAGCTGATTAAGGAAACGGGTGTTTCGGGGGCTTTAAAGGACCTTCGGGGTCTTTGAAAGATCGCCAGAGATTTACACTTCATAAGAACGGATGCGTAGCTCTGTGACTTTAATGTAGTGATAAGACATGAGAGGCACAAACTGGAGCGAGCTTCAGCTTCTGACACCTCCGCTTCAGTGATAAGAAAACTTCATGTGGACCCGCAGGCCTAAACTGACACCTTCCCCCATCTGGCTTCTTCCCAGATGGAGGTTTCCAGGTCAGCGACAAAGGAGACGGGGGCATCAAGATGCAGGCCACCGCAGCGGGTGGCCCCAATTCCTCCTCCTCCTCCTCTGCAGCTGTCAGAGTGTGAAAGGGGGCGGAGGTGGTGGAGGGGATTAAAAGGTTTCGAATAGGCTATTCCGAGGCCCTGGCTAAGTGCTGTTTCTCCTGGCCTCCTCTGCCCGCAGGCCCGTCGCCTTTGAAACTGGAGAAGCCTGAGTGTCTCCGACAATGTGAGCGCTGGGGCAGAGTAGGGACGGGCACCCGGAGGTCAGCAGCGTCCCACCAGTGTAGGCTTACTGATGGGTCTATTCAGCCCGCCGGTCCAAAACCCCACTGCACTCGCATGAAAGGTGGTGAGGGTGAGAGGCCAACAGCTTCTCCCTGTCCTCATCACTCCAACGCTACCTCTGGATTTGTCTTACTCGACTCAACTTAGTGTTTTCCAAGCAGGGGCACCCCTGCACGGGGCACGAATGGAAGGAAGTGCCTCTTTGCAAGGCAGGCAACGTCACACCCTTCCAGCCAATAAGGGTGCAACTAACGATCAGTTCATCTATTAATTGTTTAGCCAATAAAAAGTCAGAAAACAGTGAAAAATGCCCATCGTAAGTTCCCAGAGCCCAAGCTGAGGGTTTGAAACTGCGCTGTACGGTTCAGTACCAAAAGATATTCAATTAGAATGATATAAAACAGAAATACAGCAAGTCCTGACATAATGGAGGCTGGAAACTGATTATTCGGTTATCAAAACTGTTGTTTCATCTAAATTCTACGTTGACTGACTAACCCCAGATGTCGGATCGGACCAACAACAGCTCAGTCAGAAAGTGAACAAGCATATTTGTGACATTTCTTTACTATTTCTATCTCTAAGTGTACGTTAGTTGACAATAAATATGGATGTGGGAGTGAATGGCATTGGCACATTGGCTGCGATGACAGCGCAGGCGTGTTCGGTGGACACTGGGGGTAATCAGTTGTTCGATTACTTGTTTCAGCGTTAAAGCCGAATGCAGACACAGAACATCACAGCCAAATGCTACCGGACTTGAGTTAATGCATTAAAAACGCATTTCTTCATTAGACATCTAAGGAACTCGGTGAGCTAAATCCCTGCTGTCTGTGTGCATTCTGAATGTGCTCTTAGGGGTTTCAACTCCTCTAAACTCTCTCTGAAAAAGAGCCAACGAGCACGTCAGCGACAGACAGCTTCAGGACTGTTTACTTCTCTCCGTCTCTGGCAGACAAGGAAGTAGCTCAGATAAGAATCGTCTCAATTTATGCAACGTCATTGTCCATATTAGGTCACAGTTGGCTAAATCTGTGAGCTGAGAGCATCAGTTCTCTATTGTTTCAGTCCAGGCTGTTCCTCGGTTGACTCCCGAGCTCGCACTGTAATGACCGTCATGAAAATACGACCAAACAGCAGACATCTTTGGGTCATTCCAGTTTCCATCTGCCTCCTGCTTCCAGGTACACATAAACAGAAGCTTTCTGGGAAACTGAGTCAGGAATGTTAACAGAGACAATTTGCCTTGCCAAGAGTGGCCACTCCCCATTAAAGCTTTACAGTTAAAGGGATCTTTAATGATACAAAAATGTCAAAATGTGTCGTTTTTCTTTTAAATAGAGGAATAATGCTACAGTGTCAATTTAAACCCTTACACGAGCTCACTAGTTGCACAGAATCCGGCGCCATGTCTTGTTAGTTGTTTGGATCTGTGGCACTGAGTTAGAACAGTTTTCTCTTCAGTTCAGTTTTTGGCATATAGATGAATGTACACAACAGATGGTGTTTTGTTACATAACACCGCTTCGGAGGAAGGAAAACATCAGGACAAACTTGTGCATTCAAAGTGGAATCCCTCTTAAACCCAAAGAGCTCGTCCTCCTCCGGCTTCACAGATGGTTTGTACAACGTTTTAAACTGTAGGGATATATACAATTGTTTTCAGCTGTTTCCTTTCTTTTTTGTTTGGTGTTGTGCGAGGGCATGTGAAGGAAGCTGCTGCCAGCACGAGATCCTGTGACTCCGCTGGCAGCGTCGCCAGCTTCCCAAGCCTCGAGAGAAAGCGGGAGGAACCACTTCTCAGCAGCAGAAAGAGCGCAGAGTGCACCTTTAACCAAACTGTTTTATTCTACTGGCCTCAGTGACCTTCTCCTAGATCATCTGTCTTTTTATTATTTTTTTTACTGTAAGATGATCACATGAAAACCTGACCAGGTTTCTGTGGTGATGTTTAATGTGACATCAGAGCCCCTTGCTGCTGCATTAGGCATCTTTTCTTGCAAACCACAGACTGTCTGTCTGTGGGCATCAGAGCTTAAAGCTCTATTCACCAGCAGCAGGACTACACAACGAAACCTTTCCAGCTGAACGACAGGAATCCTCTGTTTACAGTACACTTCTATACTCATACGACCATGAGCAACATTTCCCAGAATGAAAAGGAAACGAAGTTAAACAGGAGCAAAAAAAAAAAAAAAAAAAAACTGTCCTGGGCTCCATGGCCTTTAAAATGACCACGAGTGAAACCTCAAGAAGGTGAAGAGTTTAAGGTTAACTGCTCCTCTCCTGGTTGAGACAGGAAATGGAGTTTCCATAGAAGGGGAACAGTATGTTATAGAGCGGCAGCTTTGGAACGCAGCCCAGACGGGAGCTCGTCAAGGTTGAAAAACAAAAGGGGATTGCTTAGCTAACAGCCACTCCTCCACTTATATTTCCCAGAGATGATGTTCACAGAAACCGGTGCCAGCTACTGTTTCCATGTATAGGTTTTAATCTGAAAGCAAAATATTTTGGTTGACTTTTTTTTTTTTTTCTTTTTGGCTGAATGTGTGAGAAAACCTAAGACAGGCCTGCAGTTTTTTGTCCACTAAGTAAAGTCAAGTGAGGCCAAGCTCGTAGCAGTAGTCATGAGTTACGTTTTACCTTGTAATAGGGTTTAAGATCAGGCATAATAACACAGGTCCCTGTGGCTTTAAGCTCCAGGCACTTCAGAAAGGCGTCATTATGCAAACAAAGTGCCTATTACAACAGTATGTGCTCGCAGGCCAAAACCCAGTCAGCAGTTACTGCCTGATGCCTCCACTCAGGTTTGCATTGCTTTTTATTTTTTCATCAAACAGTAGCACCATACTGAAACAAACCGAGACCACCAGGTCGGTCACGAAGCGCTGAGCGCTAACAACAGGTCTTTCAATCAATATCTGTCTTTAGACAAAGGAGTCTTTTTTCTCTCTTTTGGAGGATCTGAAGCCCTCTTCGAAGGTGCTTAGTTGCTTTTACCACAGTGCAATTCAAAGGGTCCTTGACTTTTTTTTTTTTTTAATGTCCAACAACATTTAGAGACCTTGGACAAGTTGGTCTTCAGCTTCAGCAAAGACCACAGAAGGCAGATTTCAAAACTCTCAAGACTGACACCCACTATGTGGGCTGTGGCATTGCCAAATATCAACAAAATCATAATAAAAAAACAAATCAAACTTATTTGCTTTCTAGATCTACAAGTGTTTTTCTCTATTTGTCATTGCAATTCAGGAAGGTGCGCTACATAATCAGGTCAGGGGTTGAGGAGAGGGCTTGGGGAAGGCATTGAGGACACTTCCCTTTTGTGGGTAAAAATAAAGCCACTGCAGATAAGCTAAAGGAGCACCAGGCTGCAGCTAAAAGGCTGACCAAATAATAAACTGTCAGTCTCTCAGGTCCATGATAGTAGTGCATTTAGGTGAGGGGAATTAAAATCCGTTCAGTAATGTCATCCCTTAAGGATGCATGTGGGTAAACATGTCAACAATCCAAAATATTTCAGTCACTTAACCCCTCACTTCCCAAAACAAAATGATGTGTTCATGGTTGGCAGCATCTGAAGCAGTGAGACGTTTTGGTGTCCGAGTGGTTCAGCAGTATCAGTGATCTTTGGTCAGTTTGAATTAAGGTGCAGTTTTTCTCTTTCGTTTTTGACTTTGCTTTCATTTTGATGGGGTGAAGGGGAGTTAAAGGGGGGGAGGGGGGCGGTGGGTGGGTGGGGGGTATTAAAGCTCCAAGGACTTTTCCACAACAAACAGGCTGTTGTTTCCATCAACAGCTGGTCTGGCATCAGGACTCCATCACTTGTTGTGTGTCACAATATTTAGTGACATTTCAGATGCCGATGCAATCCAAATGGTATGCAGTGCTTCTATAGGAGCCCAGCCAAAAAAAAAAAAAAAAAACCACACACACTCGTTTCTTTGTCTTCCAGGCCTGGGCTCCTCCCACTTCCTTATTTTAGCACTTCCTCTATCCTCAAATGCCCCCTCGCCCTCGACTCACTACCGGTCCCCTGCCGGCAACTACGACCATCTACAAAACAGTGCAATGTCTATTCATAGGCACACTGGGATACAAATACAGCACACAGAGGGAGAGAGGAACACTATACACGCTCATACAGTATGTTACATGTCCAACATGCACGCACACACACGTGCGCGCACACACACACACACAGACACACACACACACACACACACACACACACACACAGACATAACACAGAATACAGAGACGTCAGCAGCAGCAGCTCTGGCCTGGTGGTGGTTGTGGCGCAGCCTGCAGAGACAGAGCGGTGAAGACGGCTGCTGTTTGGAGGGCCAACAGGAGAGGACCAGGAGCCAGGTGGCAATTTACTCCCATACTTGTTTAGGCTACTCCCTCCTCCTCCTCCTCCTCCTCCTTCTTCTCCTCCTCCCCTTTCCCAGCATCTGCACCTCTTCATCTCCTACTCAAATGTGTACAACGTGAAGAGTGGAGGTGTTGCAGAGAACTTGGTCAGGTCAGGTCAGGTTGGTTGGTGGTGCTGGGAGGGGGAAGGCGTGGTAGAGGGAGGGTGAAGGAGGAGGGGAAGCAGGGACGGTCGATGGGTTTAGCCCGCCACCTCGTCATCTCCTTGCGGGGGCTCTTTGCGCTGGTTCTGACCGCCCGCGCTGGCCGCCAAAATCCTTTGCACAAAGTCTTTGGTCCGCCCGGCGACTAGAGGACCTGCAGTTGTCATGGAAATAAATTAGAAAGTGTGTTGGAAAGAAAAGGGAAGGCAGAAATAGTTCTTACGAGAAAAAAAGAAATATAAGGCTGAAAATATACAGACATCAAAAGCTAAACAACTTTTTAGACTTTTCTAAGGTACCCGCTGATAAACCTGTTAATTAAAATGTACAACTTAAATGAAGTGGACTACATAGAGTCAAGGCATTTAAAAATTATAATTGAGCATCAGTGGAAAAAAATACAAACAAGATAAATAGAAGATCAATCATATTTTAATTTTTTTTTCTGTTCTACCAGGGATTCAGCGCCTGTTTGGGGGATCTTTGTATATATCACATAATTCAATAAATTCAATTACATTTACTTTGTATAGCGCCAACTCATAACAAAAGTTATCTTAGGACTCCTTATAAAATGATTTACAGAGACCCAACAGTTCCCACCATGAGCAAGCACTTGGCGACGGCGGCAAGGAAAAACTCTAGGTGGGTGGTCGTCTGCCTCGACCAGCTGGGGTCAGGACAAGATGTATGTGTGTTTGTGTCTCTCACCGCTGGACTCTCGGAGGATGTCTTCCAGGCGCTGGGTCATCCCTCGCTCGTCCGTGTCCTCTTCCTCGCTGCTCTCCACCCGCAGCCGGATCACCTCCTTGATCCGCAGCAGAGCTCCCAACAAGTTCTCTGTGCAGCCAAAGACAAAATAAAAAGATTATTTTCATCTCAAAACACTTAAAAAGGGGGAAAAGTGAGGCTGAAGCAGGTATCCTGCTCAGTTCTGCTTCAGTTTCAGCCTCAGAGCAGTGCCACAGCAATATTACAGAAGCCACATGGCATGCTGGGTATTTATTGACTTTTTCAATACCTTACTTTGAGGAATACTGCCACTTTCTCACAAATCATTTTTGTTCATTCAACAAAACAAACCAAACTATTCAAACCCACCAATGTTGTCTTAACACAAAGCAGCCATACAAGAATTTTACCAAAATAAAAAAAAACTCTAAAATGAGCAAAATTATGATTTGATAGATGATTCTGACAAAGCATTCGATGCCAACATGTATCATTTGATGATGTTCTATCCTCGATGTTATGGACACATTTTGGGACTGAAAAAATATTGATGTTTGATAACCAGCCCTCTCAAAAATGGTTTCATTTCCCCAAAAACCTGGCGAGGGATAGAGAGGTTGTTTGTTTCCAAAGAGCAAAAGGGAAAGTAAAATGAACTGTGGTCAAAAGTGAAACAAGGGAAGCAGAATGATAGATTTAGGTGAGGGAAGTGAAAGACAAGCCCTTGTCCAAGACCATAACCCCCCCCCCCCCAACTGCCCCAGTGCTGCTCGGTGGCTCACAGATCAGACTGGGGCTGTACTGGGCCAATTCCAGTGCGATGATGGCAAACACAGCGTTGCATCCTTGGTTAAGTAAAGGTAGACTATCCATAGATAGCACAGACCCAAATCACTGACTGAGGCTTACTATATATTAATGACAAGTCACAATTAGTTCTAATTAAACCGTCTATCTTGCCTCCTTTTCCAGGCCTTTGAGACAAAGTTAACAAACTTAAATACATCCAAATTAGAACAAGGCATTCCCATTTTTGTTGTTTCATCCATCAGAATATTTCAGGGTTTTTTACGAGTGAATTCAAGCATTGATTCTCTCAGGTCATCATAATTTGTGCTGTATAAAAGTATACTCTCTCAGCTCGCAGCATCTGTTTTCCTCCCGTATATTTTTGAATCGGGCAACCTCCAGTACCAGCTCTCAACTGTGCAACCAAATATCTTTGACTTCTAGGTAAACGATGTCTAATGTATAATTCAGGGCCAAAATTCAGTTTGATATGCATATATGTCCTTAACTTTGGCTTTGACAATAACATTTTTCTTCAAATGTCAGCAAGAGCTTATTTTTAATAGAGTTAACATTACAACTTAAATAATTCCTGTAGATTCACAACATATCCATCTCCTCAAAAATAGAAGAAATCTCCATCGCTCGTGGAGACCTGTGTGCTGTACTCCACATAAATACTTTTATTATTATTCTGTCCTTTGCCATAATGATTACATATGTATTCTTTGCAAAGTAAAGCTGTTTCCTGTTTTTGTAAAAACCTCCAGCAGATTTCCTTCCAACAAAGCCCAGCAACACGCTCTCACACCAGAGCTCAGCTATTCTGATAATTGAGTCTTTTTTTCCAATCAAAATCCTTAAACAGGCTTTGGTTCCAGTTCGTCTAATCTTTCATTGCAAACACAATAAATGACGGTTTCACTGACAAAAGAACCAACTGGAGACGTCATCTCGGGTTGAGGGAAACTGTGATGGACAGTTTTTTACTATTTAAAAAAAATGTTTGTATCAATAATGAAAAGAACTGCAAAGATTTAGCAAGAAGCATCTTGAAGGCAGACAAGTGAAACACACAAATAGGGTTGCAACTGTATGATCTCTCAGAAAACAATCATTATTATTATCATTAATTAGAATGAACCAATAAAGCAATGAAAACAGAAGGTTTGTTGGGTTGAACAAATGCTTTAATCTATCTTATATACCTATATACTTTTTAATAACTCTAATACAATACTGTAGATAAGCAAATGTACATGTTATTGATTGCTTTTCCTACCACAGTACACCATGGTATCTGTATACCGCTGCAACCCTGCACTTAAAGCATCTTACAGGGTGTTTTCTAACGTGGCAGCTACCGTTAGTTACTGCCTCGCTCTGCTGTCTGCACTACAAAGACAGCAACTTCTACATTTTATTTTGATATCGAGTCAGCTGTCTTCCCTCGCTCCAAAACGGGATTTGCTTGAGGCTTATCTCTGCTGCTGATGGTGTGAATCATCAGCACCTTCTGGCTCCTCCCTGTGTGAGGTCATGTGACCTGCTGGCACCATGACACCCCTCCTGTCAGTGCACATTATTCTCGTATGAATCTGATTCCTCTGTAGTCCAGCGCTCGTCTCGGTGGGGAGTCTGTGTGTGGGCGAAGGACCATTTCTTCCCCCCCCAACTCTGTATACAAACACACACACACACACACACACACACACACACACACACACACACACACACACACACACACACACACACACACACACACACACACACACACACACACACACACACACACACTGTAAATGAAGTCAGGAGGCTTCCCGGCATTGGCACAGCGCCATAATCCTACTTGTTTGTAGTTTCCTGTTGAATCTGCTGCTAAGCATGTAAAGTGCGTTTTGTATAGATGCAAATTATGGAGCGAGAGAGAGAGAGAGAACAAGTGAATGAGAGAGAATTAAAAAAAAGGAGTCACAGGAGGGAGAGGAGGGGAAGAGGAAACAAGGCGATGTGTGAGGTTAGGCCCTGTGTGTTTTGGCTTCCTGCCAGTGCAACAAAAATTTGAGGGGAGCTACGACTAAAGCCTTCATTCGCAATGAAATGCCGGTTCGGCATCAGGAATGACTGGAATGTTAAAAAATGGGAGGGAAAAAAAAAGGGACAAAGGAAGTGGGATGCTGGTTGGGGTTGAATTCAAAGAAGTCGAACCAAACGAGACGAGGAGGAGGAGTGGGAGTGGGAGAAGGAGGGGGCAGAGGAGGAGGAGGAGGAGGAGGAGGAGGCAGAGGAGCGAGCAGGCTGACAGATTTGGTGTAGAGTAGAGGTGTTGATTATGAGGAGCGAGGTGAAGTCACCCTTCTCAGATTTTTCCTCAATCAGTGTGTTTACATGCTCCTCAGTGATCTTGTTATTATCAATGTTCTGCAGTAACCTGATTCCTTAAACAGGGCGTCTTCAAAGCAGCCTCGGAAAGATGATTAATTTATAGCTCGGTCTGTATTTTATTCTCCTTACAAAGAGAGGCTGCGACGTGTCAGTGTGAGGTTATTGGTTGTATGCTGGAGGACCACAGTGGAAATGAGCCATTAGGCTTTGCTGGGGTTTTTTTTTCTTGAATGATTGTAACTGCTGCTGCTGTAGAATAAATTCAATCAGTTCAACATTGTGTAAAGTCGACACTAGAGGCTGAGTTAGTTTGAAACTGAATCTGCTACTAAAATTGGTTTCACCACGATTACTTGGGGAATAACCTACCTAGTTTCTGGTTGGTACGAGCCACTCAGCATTGTAACACATTGTAATGAGCTAAGTCGGTGTTGAAATATCATACGAATAAATTAGGTTTCTAATCGCAAAATAGCAGCAGTTAGTGAAAAGATAATGTTGTGCGGCAGAAAAACTGCAGTTTTACCATCAGTGAGTTTGATTCTGTGACATTTTATCATCGACACCACCTTATAGGGGCTTGTGTAACTATTTAGTTGTTACTTAGAAATAAGTTGTAACTTATCTTGCTTTTATTTTAATAATGCATAAATCACAGCTTAGTAATAATTTATGTTATAACTGCGCCAAGTTTGGACTTACACACAGCTGCTGCACAACTAAAAATGAGAGTATTTGTAAAATGTAGACAAATTCACACAGTAAGAAAAGAACTGGGTGCTCTCTTCCGACAGAGCCTGCTTTAGCACTGAGAGAACTGCACTAAATTAGCACCAGCCACCGGCCAAATACTGGTAAAATATGCAAGTGGCTGATATATTGTCTTCATTCGCCAGCCAAAAAACTGGCCCATCTGTTAAGTGGCAGGTAAAATTTTAACATCTACCAATCCTCACTATGGGGGTTTTCTACAGAGGGTTATAAAGCCTCCATTATACAGTACAGCCTGAAATAAAGAGTGCCTCTTCTACTCAGAAGAAAACAATGACAATTGAAAAGTAACCTTAAGGGAAAGAGAGCAGGAGCGCTTCAGGATCTGCCCGATTTAGTGCAGGAGATGACTGTGATTGATCAAACAGATACAGCGGGGGCCTCATGCAAGACGCAATGCACACAACATACGAACAAACTGTCCCTTATTTTTTGTTCGTATCCATGATTTATTCTTATTTTGTTAGTAGCCACTGAATTCTGGATTCACCAATGTTCTGCTCTTCAGTAAGAGATCATTTTACGAGTGGTTGAGAGCAGGAGATGGGAACAAAACATCTTGTTTTCACAGTCCACAAAATGTTTGTCCAACTCAAGGAAACATGGTAAATGGACTATATTTATATAGCGGCTTTAAGTTCTTCCAACCACTCAAAGCGCCGTACGCTAAAGGCGACCTTCACCCACTTTCATACAGTGATGACAAAGGATATCACAAATAGCAGGTAATACACTGATGCACAGCATCCCTATCATCAAGGACACTTCAACATGCAGTGGACGATCCGCTCTACCTCCTGAGCCACAGCCTCAGAACAAAACATATGTTTTAAATCTGAGGAAAATAAAATAGGCTGGAATATCATAGAATCAGATAAGATTATATGTTTTAGAGTAATTATAGTGATTGGATTATTAAGTGGTGTTGGCTTGCCATCCCCTGCAGTTCACTTCTCAATAGCGTGGTATTTCATTACTGCAGTTATCACAACAGCCAGTAAGAACTGTAATATTGCATAATATCACATTGTATAGTGTCAATATGAATTATGAAAGTAATTGTCTCTGATCTAAATCTCTTCTTTCATGGCCAACCTTACCTAGAGCGATGATACTGAATCATAAACTCATATTCTGTGAATCCTCACCGTCCAGTAAAAAGCTTCATACCTCCAACATAACCTTGTTTTCTGAGTTTATCCAATCTGAGTTTAAGAAAGCCAATACATTTCTTGACACAGAAAGAGGAATCTGATCCTTCAGCAGGAGTTAAAACACATGAAAATCATCTAAAGAGGAGTTAGCTGTGCGGTTTGTGTCCATTCTGCAGTACTGACCATACTCCTGGTTCAGCCCCCACAGCTTGATCTTGTTGGCTTCGTGCTGGGCCTTCTTCTTCAGCCTGCAGGCCCTGGAAACAGAGAGCAAGAGAGAGAGCACTGTCATTCTCTGGAACAAGAAACTCTGTTCCAGTATTCCCGTTCTCCACACGACCCTGTTACCATGTCTGCTGGTTCACGCTGAGAGCAGCTGGAGAGTGATGAGTGGAGGATGTATTTCCAAACTGTGAGGGAGATTAACTGGAAACATCCCTCCGCTCCTCCTGTAACCATTTGACACCCCGACTCTGAAGTGAAAACGGCCACTTTGGTTTCAGAGTATTTGGGGTTGAAAAACGGCAGCAGGGAATGAATCAATCAATGCATATTAATAATGAATGCGTCTCATGGGGACTATACTCTGCAGCTTGCATAGAATTTCTCTTTTTCTGCAGCTGTGAGTCAGCTAAATGAAACCTAAGGAAACACTTGCAGGCCAGTCTGTGTTCCTCTGCATGTTGAAATGTTGGATTTCGCCTACAGCCACATTTTTCTCTTCTAAGTTCCAAATTTGTACCAAAGTCCCTGCTGGTTTGAGGAGGATGTAGACGAACAACAGTTAAGCTGTTCTTAATCATTGCGGGGATGGGACTGATAAAGTACAGAGGATTATTCCAACATATATGTACCACAGGTTTTTAAATTTCCTACCTTCCCACATGCCACTAAACACACCGTCAATATAGGGTTTTCGAAACAGCCCCCGAAAAAAATCAAAAATAGCCCCAAAAAAGAATTCATTGTGAAGCTGCAAAGAAAGTAGAGGCTGCCTGGAAGGTAGGACAAACATATTCGCCAAATTAAAAACCTCTGGTGCTCGGATGGTGTCTCCAAACCTGGAGCTGTGTGTATTTTTGAAGTCAATCTAGCAACCAATCACATGATAAATGGTAACTCTCTCTTCAGGGAAAGAATGACTCAGGAGGCGGACAGCAGACACATTATTTGATTCATTTAAAAGGAATACAAAATAACATTTTGGGGCTTATTTGCTGTCTGAACACCAGCAGGTGGCTCAGCTAATCTCATTTGTGCAACTATGGAATAGACAGTGCTGAAAGTTTGGGACGCCTACTTGCACTCTCAGGACAATACCTCTTTTTATCACCATCGACTCCTGTCTCATGACTGACTGCAAACCATACTGCATCTCTTTTGTGGAGCAACTTTTTCTCCAGCAGTGCAGGGTTACATAAGTCACGCAGCCCCCCCCCCCAGCACCTCTACGTCTAGCATTAATATCATAAGCATGCAACCGACTAGTTGAGCTTTAACTAACAACTACTAGAACATACTGTAGTTCTTTCTTGGACAAAGGAGAATCTTTAGTAGGAGGCAGCCCTACTTTGAACAACTCGTCTTTGTGCTGAACACAGAGATTAAAGTCATTCATTCATCAACGTGAAAGTGAAAGTGGAGTATTCCTGTAAGTCATTAGGTCGGTAACCGCTAACAGTGTTTGTTGGCGCGTCCGGCCGAGCTGGAGGCTCCCCAGAGGGTTTTTCTTCTACGCAGCCTGATCGGCCCGGGCAGGTTGTTTTTTAACAAGACTGAGAAAATAATGGGACAGACTGGAGGCGGTTATGATAATCCCACTGCTAACTCTGATCTGTTCTGAGGCAGCCACAAGTATGACAGTACAAAAGATGAGAAACATCACAGAGGAGAAACCTGCATATTAAATGAAAACATGAACTCAGTCACATTAAAGTACAGAGTGACTTTAACTGTGCACTTCTTCTCTACTCTCACTGTCTTTTTCTCAGCTTTCTCCTGTTTTCCCCCTCAACTTCCAATCTGATGTTGTGTTTATGTCGTGTTTAATATATGTTTGGAATAATAAGATATTCCCAGAGTCCCCCTCCTCTTCAAACTGCCTGTAATAATGTCCTTTTGCTCCAAATTCTACCCCTCCCTTCTTCTCTCCACAGATGAACTTTCTATGACCCTCCTCATCTAACTCCTTGTCTGCCTCCTCAATCCTGCCCTGATTTCCTCCTATTCAGCCTTTCATCCTGCTTCGCTCCATCTCATCTCTCCTCTGTTGTTTTCCTCTGCTTCCCTCCATCTTTCTTTAATCTATTCCATCATGCTCATGTCCAAAGTAAACTCATTAAAAAAGGGAAAATCAACTGAAAAATACACTCACGACCTAAATTTTTAAGTCATTTGTGTTGTATGTAGTTTCCTCAGACGCTGGGGTTTTTAAAAAGGTCATCTTCACCGTGGTGCAGTGTGTTCCACGTGGGGAAGAGATGAAATGCTTCCCGACACTTCAAAATAAAAATGCAAGACTGGAATTACAACCACTTTCCATCGTAATCAAATTAACTCCACGATGATAAGATGTTTTTCTCAATGTATTCTTCTCTCTCTGTGTCCTCCAGAAACAGTATAAGAAGGTCAAATATTTAAATGCGCCACATATTTGAAAACCAATCTTGACAAGGTTAAAGATTGTCTGCAGATACCCAACCACAAAGCCCTGCAAGATTCTCTTCTATTTCTTTCTGAAAACGCTTTACAAACAGTGAAAACCTCTCAAAATGCCCACTCATGCCTCAGAAATCAATACACAAAGTCTCCTGGGCTCTGACTCGGTGCAGAGGACGTAGGAGGGCAGTAAGTGGAGCGTGGTACCTAGAGGCCAGCTTGTTCTTCTCTTTGCGGGACCGGGCTCGGGCCACAGCGGGCAGGTCGTTGACCGGACCCATGCCGTCGATGGCAGCGTTGAGCTTCTGCAGCTGCTCCCCGATGTTGTGGAGCTTCTGGGGGTTTGGCGTCAGGTCGCTGGCGTCTGTCTTACGAGCTTTACGTCGTCCTTTTTTGCCTGGAAAAAAACAAACAAATCGATGGAATGAATTCAGTACCTGTCTGTACAAGCTTTACAATCTTCTTTTGTTCGATATTTTAATTTTATTTATAAACACACCAGATCCACCTAAGTTTGTCTTAAAATTCTAGTCATGATCCTGAATCTAAACAATGCTCTGTCATCAAGAAATGTTTGAAATTAATTTAATTTATTGGTTTATTTAAAACATTATTTTATTGACAATAGCCGCTTATTTTCAGCTGCTGTCCCTGTACAATGCACATGTAACAGCATAAAATTGATAGTTCCTCATGAGACCAATATATTATGACCTTAGTGACAACATGACTGATTGAATACACTCTGTGGGGATAGCAACGTTAAGGCTGCAAGAAAATAAACTGTATTGCAATTTTTATATTTACTGAAACAAATCCCATTAAAATCATGATAATGTGGCATTTGTTGGGGTCTGTACCAAACAAACATGTTTTCTAGGCCAGGGTATCTCTGCAGCAGTACAGTACTACAGCACATTGCAATCTGATACTATTTCCATTAATTGTGCGGCCCTAGACAGCATTCCATTGTTTTCTTGCTGGAATTGAAAATGGATTAATTTGATTTAACAGAGCAGCCACAAAAATAGCATCCTAGCTTTTAATATCTGAATGAAATGACAGAATAAGCAGTAACAGAACATATAAATATGTGACAGTGTAAATGTAGTTTGTGATTTTATTGTACTGGATTGTATTTGAGTCTTGAGGAGGACACAAGCTGCCGAACTGCTGCACCGCTACCGTTACGCCTGATGTAAGATCCACCGATCAGGGAAATGCTGAAACATTCAGATTTTGACATAAAAGTTGTATGTAGGGCACATGCCTCAGGGTCCCGATCTGATTTGTGTCACATGAGAGGAAAGAAATGGGACACTTTGAGCTGCAGTGTGAATGTCGTTTTTAATGACTCCTGCTGCTTAAAGAGTCTCATTCAGTGGATCTTTACTTCACTTTCATTTCCAGCTTCAACTCTAGTAAGTAAAATGTTCATTCATTGATCTATTAATGGTCTCATCGCTTCCGCTCTGCGATAGTGAAGTCAGTACTTCAGGCAGTGTCCTCACCCTCTCTGCGGTACAGTGTGCTGGGTAGAGTGCTGGAGCTCCAGGACAGAGACCAGTGGACGTCTCCACCCAGTTTCTTCTTCGTGGCCGTCTCTCGAGCACGTCGGTACTCCCAGAAACAGCGGCGCTTCAACGGGCGCTCGCCTGGCTGCCTCACTGGCTCGGCCTCCACCTCTGAAAGGAAACACGGCCAAAACAATTCAGACTTGATGCACTGATGCAAATGTACAAGATTCGATTGTTGTGTCACAAATCTTCAAGCAACAAACTGGAAATTAGCTTTCTATCATTTCAGTGTAGCTGGCTGAAACAATCAACCAACAAAAAGTCATTTATGAAACAAGATTACCCCACGAGTCTCAATTCACACGTGAAACAATTACTCAGTGGAAACAAAACAGACAGCTTTGCTATTCTTAGATCCTTACCACACAAGTAGGGCTGCAACTTATGATTATTTTCTCGATGAATTGTCCATAAAATGGTGACAAATGTTGATCTGAGTTTCCTTAAAGTCCAAGCTGACCTCCTCAAATGCCTTGTTTTGTCCTGACATATTCATTTTATAGTCACAGAGGACTACAAAACTGTAAATATTCACATCTGAGAAGCTGAAATCAGAGAATGTTTTCTTAAAATATATCAAAATAGCTGCCAATTAATTTAATAGTTGCAGCTCTAAAAGTGGGTCAAAACTGTGAAGTCGGATTTAAGCGGGCCGTTGGAGGAAAACTGAAACCAAAACAAAAGTGATTATGCTCTGGTGAGCAGGAAAGTCCCTGGTTTGGGCTGAGGGGGTGGGGATTGATCCTCTAAGGACTGTGATCGTCCACAACAAACTTCATGGAAATCTGGCTCGTCAGGAACCATACAAATTAGGTTAGAACCGAGCAAAGTGTTGGGCTGACAGAAAGTTACTGAACACTGAAAATGCTCAGAATTCCTCCTCTTGGTGCCATTAATGCCCGTACCAAGTTTCATGGCAATCTATCAAACAGTGGTTGAGATATTTCCCTCTGGTGTTGGCCCGGCAGAGAGACAACAACAACGTGGACCCAGTGACTCCTCTCTTATTGTGTCGGATTGTATCTTCTGCTTTCATTTCACCATGAAGCATAAATGCGTTGAACTGCAAATATCTACATACAGTATGCAAGTGACGAATCTGCTGAACCGTCAAAAAGTAGTTTGTCTAAACTCTGATTGACCTGCGATAACATATTTCATAACACTTCCCTCAGATTAGGGAGATTAGAGGATCTCACTGCGGTGCAACGTTTAACTTAGTTTAATCTCTGCTGCAATCGTTCTGATTCCAGTAACACAACTCAAGTTCAACAAACACAGTTTTAATACCCGTTTTCTAGAATTTTCATGATTCCCAACTTTTTAAGGAATCATTTTCCAGGTGTTAAGTTTTTCTTATTACAGGATGGCACGTGCTCACGAACGGTCAAATAATCTAACTGTAGGCTGAGAAAACTCCAGTTGTATTCCTCCTTTCTAAAGTGGAGGGTGATGCAGTGTCTCAGGTTTATTACAGGTAGGTAGTGAGTGTTTATGGGACACACCACGTCAGCTCAATTCTGGCTGTTCTCACCACAGTCCATTTTTCCGCTGCAGTCTTAAAAGAGCGGAGCTGCAGTCTCCAGCAAATTGACTCCACTTTACTACCGTTTTCCTCCAGCAGTAATATTAATTTGACCACAGCCCATGGGTTACAGTTCAAATCCAGTCGAATTGATTTTATTTTACAGAAAATTCATCTTCTAAACGAAACTAAATCCAAATACGCACCCAGGTTTACAATCAGATTATATTTCCAGGACAACAACATAGATTATTTTTAGGATATTCAGTCATTTTAATCCATTTCCAGGTATTTCCATGACTGCAAAACTAGTCTCTAAATTTCCAGGTTTTCCAGGATGCATGGGAACCCAAATTTTCAAGCCAAAAAAATATAGTTTTTCATTAACATTTCCAAAATGTATTCTAAACTTGGCAAAAAATGTAAAGCTTGAGAAACAGCATTTACACGATCAAAGAAATAACAACTATTGAATGTAATCTGGTTCAGATGTTGCATCAGGATCACTCGACGTTTGAGGAGCAGTGATGCAATTATCCAAATACAGAATCAATACTCCAGGCTGTTTTATTAATATATAATGAAGAAAACAGACTCTCATCCATTATTACGTAGGTGGACAACATTGACAGCCATATATGAGATATTTAATAGAAGATAAATACCCTTCAAGTTAATATGACAGATGAACCCTAATCATAACTGACAGGTATTAATGTTCACGTTTGCCTGGTATGAAATCATGCTGTGAATCCTAATCCACAATCACATGCTAATGTCCTAATGACAAAGCCACCACCGGCTAACACTGTATACATGCACCCTGTTTCAGAGGCAGACACCTACACCAGCACACAGACGTCACAGAAGATTAGCCTCAGGCGTGCACAGCCATGAATAATGGTATCATAAATAATACAACATGCAAAGCTCCACCAGCAGGAGCAGAAACGCTTCTTCAAATCCACCAGAGCTGGGTTAAAAAAAAAACAACAAAAAACATGCTCCAAATAATGTAATAGTAGCTGGATTAAATCAGGCTGAAAGTTAATAACCATGAAGCCCCTATCCTAGCCATCAGACAGGGCCGTCCATTACTCACATTCTCACACACACACACACACACACACACACACACACACACACACACACACACACACACACACACACACACACACACACAAACAGATGGCTTATGTAACATCATGTCGTCTGGTCCAGTCTGCAGATAGCACCATTGTCTGCACTCTCCCCTCAATTTGATCTTTCGCTCCACGGTCGCTTTATTATAGTTTTAAACACGCACACTTTTCCATCCATCACACAGCCCTTTGCAATCGCCGTGGGCAACTGGTAAGAATAGCTCTACCGGGCAAACACATCACACACACACACACACACACACAGCCACAACAATGGAGAGTGACAATGGTGTCTCGCGACGGTCGAAATATGACCCAGGCCGGCCTTTTGAGAGCGAGCCAGCGACCTCTCCATTACCTTGCAACAAGAAGCCTGAGATTTGTTTATCTAGCGCGAGGACGATCACAGACAGAGAGAGCCTGGGAAAAGATGGTAATCTGAAGTGAAGTCAGTTTATATGTGTGTTATCTAATATATATGTTTATATTTTATGTCCTGTGATCTGGACATGAAATCTCCTGCAACGTTTAAGCCCCTCAGCTGACGCTCTGAGCTAACAGCAACCAGCAAATTCACGTCAGTTTAGAATGAGTTCAGTTTTCAGTTCAGTCTGTATGTTGACTCGCACACTAGCTTCATGAATAATTAAACTAAGGGGAGACTCCTGTGATTTATTATTGCACTCCCATAAAGTTGGAGGACTGAAGGGACAAAAGATTAAAACCAGAACTGATGCAGCCGAGGCTCAGATATCCCGCCTTTTAGTCCCTTCCTAGTATCCATTAAGCTCCAAAAACACTGGATCCTACAATTCCCATTATGCAACTTGAAATCATCTGTCATTAAACCCTACAAGCTTGCTTAACACCCAAATATTTCTAGCTTTAAAAAAGGTCCAGTGTGCAACATTCAGGATGATTTACTGGTACAAATGGAATATAATACTCATAGCTATGTTTTAATTAGTGTATAATCGCTTGAAAATAAGAATTGTGTTTTTGTTACCTTAGAATAAAATGTTTTTATCTACCTATGCTGCAGGTCGCCTTCCATGGAGGCCACCATGTTTCTACAGTAGCCCAGAACAGACAAATCAACCACTGGCTCTCGCTGCCGCTGTAGTTTCTCCTACACACCTCACAGCTCCCTCTCATTCCCGGTTTAACGGGATACAGACGACAGAGGTGTTCAGGTAGATGCCACTAAATCTTACACGCTGGTCCTTTAAGCAGGTTTTCTGTTCAAATGTTGTCGTCCTCCAGAGACACAGAAGACGTTATACAACTGGTTAATTAAAGAGTTTACTTCACTTGACAAGCAAACTGACTTTAGTCCATTTAGAGTTAGTCAATGTGTTTTTTTGGTGCAGATCCAAGAATTTGTCGGGGGTTTGTTAACATTAGGTGATATGAACAGCTGTTACTGGTATGAAATTAAATGTGCAAAACTCATGTGTCAATCTAACGATTTTCTATCACTACCACTATATGTTAAGCAGGTCAAAATTGAGAGGCAGATTAAAGATTTCTACTGCTAAAGAGCCTTGGGGAAGGTATTCATTCCCCTGGACCACAGCCATGTTTTTAGACACCAGCATGAACAAAATACTGCAGAGGAAAATACTGATTTGACCAAAAAGTAGTCAAATTTAAATGTATTGGGTCTAAAAATACAGCAGTACAATCGCAGCAGGTCAACTGTCCCCAGGCAGCAAAGACACCTAACTCTGCCCCATGCATGTGCGCACACTATGCAAATGTGGCTGCCACAGATTCTGCTACAAGAGTTCTGAGGTTACAGCGTGATTCAGTGAAACGCTTTAATCGTCACTGTGGCTGAACTGATATCTCCAATTGGTGTAAATCCATTCTCTTAATAATCAGCCATCCAAAAGGTCACACGCAACCAGTTAGAGTTTGTTCATTTTAAATGACCTCGGAAGCTCTACAGCGACTATGTATTGTGTATGTACGGGTATAAAAGGTGTATCAGCATGTGTCCGTGTCCAGACTGTGTGTGTTAAATTAAGGAAGCACAATAATTATCGGGCCGATAAGAGGAAATGTATGTATTATTTCGATAATTAAATCAGAGCCGATAAATTACCTCATTATCATTTATTTTGAGTTCTTCTGCTAATGTTTAAATGGGCTTTATGCTCTATGAAATCCAAAGTATGTTTGTGAAGTCTTTTGACATATTTTATTAAAAAAGGATAAATGAACATTTGAAGAGTCGGAACTCTGAAGGTCGGAGATATGGAATATTAAATCATCCGTCTTTGCTCCCTACCATCTCCGTCGTTCTTCGGCTTCAAGTGTGTAAAAAAACCAGGATGAACTTCTGAAATTACTGTCAGTATCTTCGGTATCGGCCATTAGAAGCGAGTAATGATCGACTATCAGCTGAACAAATATTCATATGGTGCATCTTTGTGTTAAATATATATGTTTTTCATTTGGGATGCGTGATAATTACCGGGGCAGATTAATTATTGGCAGATAATGGCACATAATAATAACAATAATAATAATAATAATAATACAATTTTAAATTCTTATGCAAAATGATTGATAGCCTTTATGTTCTATGAAAGTTTATTATCAGATCTCACTTCCCTGCTCTATATGCGAATAAACATCTCCGCTGCCAAAGACAAAAGGTGTTTGTGTTTGTGTTGTTTTCAACTGTGAAGGCTGCAATGCACGTCTCATGACTGATTGGCGAGAAATTAAACAACGTTTGCAAAGACTTGGCTCAAATCCACATCAGACAGTGCGCTGTTGTTGTTGGTAATATGTCAGTACGTGCTGCCGGTTACGACGTCAGTTGAGTAGGCGGTCCTTTAATGTGACCCAGGACATATTTGTGTAAAGCAGCTACAAGAATGTGACCACCTTCAGGTATGAGTGCATCCCCAGTGCGTCTCGGAAGCATTCACACCTGTCCTTAAGACACTTGTGATCGGATCATCTGTAACACACGTTGATGCCATTCATCCAAGCAGTCAATTCTTAAAGAGTAAGATTAATTTAGAAAATTATGTATGCACATTTTATCAAAGATATTCAAACTCAGGAACGTCTTTTTGGGACAGAATGGATGGATGGTTTGTTACAAAGAGTAAAATACCTGTTTTTGAATATCAGAATGTAAAGTTTGGTGTTTTCATGGAAAACAAAGATTAAGAATTTTTATTTGAAAATACTTTGATTATATTATATGATCTTTTTTGTTGGAATATGCTTATTGACGACTGATAACGCCTGTTTGTTATCTGAAGTTCAATAAGATTAATTGTAAACAGGGCCACACTCGTGCGTACTGCGTGCCTGGACTACATTAAGAATTATTTTCAATATTGATTGATCTGCTAATTATTTTCCAATGAATCGTCCATATATAAAATGTCATAAAATGTCATAAAATACTGAAGAGACCAAGGTGACTACTTCAAATGTCTTGTTTTGTCTGAACCACAGTCCACAGATAATCAGTTTACTGTGAATCCTCACATCTAAGAAGCTGAAGCTAGCAAATGTCATGAAAAATGACTCAAACGATTAACAATTTATCAAAATGGTTGCAGGTTCAACTGATCGGGCAATTGTTTTGGGTCCTACTGTGTACCCGCAGTGTTTGCGGATAAGAGAGGAGTGAGGAATGAGGCGTTAATGAGACACAAGCTGAATGCTGCAGTCTGTAGCCGGCATGTTTGTGTTGCCTTTGAAGCTACTTCAAGATTCACTTCCACTGTAACGGTTGTTTAACAATCTGTACCAACTTTCATACCCTATTTAACATGTTCAACTACAAGCCCCCGCTCCCCGAACAAAGACAGAGCAGCGTGGTGGTTACAGATGGTATTTGAATACATGAAGAGGCTCCAACCCTCAAAGCCATTTCATAACAGTAAAACTGCAGCCACTGAAGCGGCATGCAGTCCGGGAACTACACCCGCAACTTTGGTATTTAATGTGCCTCTGCTCAGCCAACCAAGTCTGAGGTCTCGTCTGGACCTGAGACAGATTGAAATGGTTTCCGTGTGGGCAGACGGGCTGCTGGCAGCGGCGTGATGATCCTCGCCACACAGATACAGACAAACTTAAAGCAGAACTCACCGCATTCAGTTTCTGAGGAGCTGGAGAGTTCAGCCTCCGCCGCCGTCTCCTCCGCTCCCTCCTCTCCCTCCTCTCCGTCTTCCCCCTCTTCGTCCTCCTCGTCCTCCTCCTCTTCCTCCTGCTCCTCGTCCTCGTCTTCCAGATCCAGCTCAGTCTTGGCCTGACTCTCCTCCCTGCCCCGCAGCTCCTGCTGCGTCTCCCCCACCCGCAACCCCTCTGTCTGGGAGTTGTGACCGGGCCCCGCCCCCAGCTCCTCTCCCTGGCTCAGGGAGTAGTTGTGCTCCTCGCTGCAGTGCTCCAGAGCCAAACCTGCCGCTGCTGCCGCCACCACCTCCTCTTCCTCCTGTGCCACCTGATACACCTCCACTGTACGCTCCCTCGGCATCCCCCCATCCTGTCCTCCTCCGGCCGCTCTTCCTGCAACACATAACTCCCTCTCCGTTGTTGTGGCAACAGAGATACGCCCCTCCTCCCTCCCTGCAGCAGTGGCCTGGACTTCCTGGGTGACGGGCGGCGCTGTGTGTCTGTTACTCCTCCTCCTCTCCTCTTCCTCTTCTTCCTCTTGCTCCTCCCGGCTTCTCCCCCAGCGGCCCATCAGGACGGCCTCCTCGGAGCAGGCCAGCAGCTCCCCTCCCACACCGAGGCCCAGCTTGGTGTAGCGAGCCATCTCGTCCAGCGCGGACACATCCCAGCGCTCCGGGTGCAGGTCCTCGCCGAAGCCACCGTCGTCCACCAGGTCGCTTAGCAACTCAAAGGGCCGTTTCCTTGGCGATGCCGGGGAGCCCAGCATGAGGAGCACACTCTAAAAAAAGACAGAGATATGCTTAAATATGACTGATTTTGGAAAAGAAAAAAACACCTACCATATACTTTATCTTTAACATTTATCCTGTCACATATCAGCGTGTGTTGTGATGTTACAGGGAGACGTCAGTAATAAAATATTTACCCTGCTGCTTTATAATTAAACTCATCGGTCCAGGCAGCATTTTAGTCACTGGCAAATTACAGGAGCTTGTACAAGGATAATCTGTGGGAAAATCGTGCCATCTTCATCACAGGAAGGCTTGTGAAACTGTTTAATTTAATAATATCGTTAACATAAGTATTATTAATCTGTAATTTAATTATCTACACAGACAGCTCTTTCTGAATGCCTATATGCTTAAGAGACAGTGCTAAACTTGTGCAGCTCAATACGGCTTCACAAAGGCAGATAAGACACCTGTAACATGGCATTACAAGAACCTGCTTAATAAACTTGTAGGTTCTTGCTTGTGTTTTCTTCCTTGAGCATATGAGTTGACTGAATGTTGCTGTCAAGAAACCTGCCCCCATTCAAGTTATCAAAACACCAATTTACTGTAAGGTGCATAAATTAAAGTCTTTTCTTCTTGTTCCTACAGTTGGATGTTTGGTCCTCACTGTGCAGAATGATGTACGTGCAGAGGTTGACACAAGAATGTTAACATTTATCTCCTGTAAGTGTTTGTTGAAAATCGGATTTTCAAGGGGCGGGGCCTACGAGCATGATCGGTGACATCACAAACACTGATTCATACATGAGACACCAGGTGAACGCAATTAACTGCAATTAGGGCCACTCTGGGGTCTGCTAGGCCCCATTTTTTTTACATTTTCAATGACTTTCAAGGTCTTGTTTGGTGAAATCCAAGGACATAGTTCAAAATTACAAATCACAAGACCGTTACAAATTATCATAATGAAATCCCGAATTTTCCACCGGATGTGTGTGAATGAAAAATAAATCTTAAAAAGCCACCAGCTAATTTTCCCAGAAAACTGAGGGCCCATTCTTTGCTGTCTCGAACAAACAAACATCTTTTCAAGGATATTCAAAGCCCTTGGGAAGTCTCACCATGAGCCATGTGAAAGTTGTGGTTCTAGTATTTCGTGGATGATTTGAACATGCAGTGCGAGCTATGTAACATAAAACTTTGGTGTCACAGAACAACCAGTCTGATCATTAACCATTCGCAGAATAAGCACAAGGAGAAACCAGCAGAGACGGCGACCTCTCAACACCTCCATCTGCTAACGTTAGCAGTGTTAACAAGGGCTGTTGTGATGCTTCCGGGGCAGAGAAGATTAACCGGCGCCTAACAACATGGGGAGTGGAGATCTGCTCCTGTTAAACTTTGCGGATGGAGGAGCTGATGGGGTTTGCGAGCTGAGTGCTAATCTGCAAAGCGCCGAACGAAATTAACCGTTCAGCTGCAGACGAAACTCATGAATTATTGAAATTATTGTCTTCATGTTGGTGGATTTGGATTTTCTTCATATTGGCTAATCTCTACAGCAGTGGTTCCCATGCCATATTTTAGGGATATTTCATATTACATTCAATGCATAAAAGTAACAGTGCCGAACAACTGTTAAACTGCACAATGAACCCAAATAATGAACACAATAACTGCAGGACGTTTTTAGCAGATTATCTAATGTAAATATTAATCAGAGATGAGTTTTCCTGATATTTTTAGTAACTTTTATACAGTTCTCTGCCTTTATTATGTTTTGTTTGTTTTATTTTTGTTCCATCAAACATACTTAATAGGCTGTGTTTCCTGCTCCTTTTGGTTGTTTGACTGCTTACTTTTCTAATGCAGGACGAGGCTGTTTAGCAGAGAGCGAAGGCTCTGTGTCACTGTGCCCTCAGCCTGCGACATTTATGTCTCAAATAACGATCTAAACTTTAAAACAATTTCATTTAGTATTATTCACAGAAATGAATGAAATGCTGAGATATAGGCCGACTGTATATATTTTAAAACCCCCTTAAAATCAAGAAGGCCATGCAACCCCCTGTGAAGCTTTAGCAACCCCAAGTGGGGGTCAGGACCCCCAGGTTGGGAACCAGTGCTCTACAGTTTGTGCAGCGGACCCTATTCTTCTGTTAATTAATTGCTGCGAGTACTCAAATATGGAAACTACGTGAGTCCACATGTGTCAACTCACCTGGTCGTACTCAGTCCTGCCCCCTTGTGGCGACATGGCCAGAGGATAGGGGCTCAGCAGACCCCTGTGTCCCCCGTAGGCCTCGCCAAATGCAGGCTCCATCCCATTCATACCCGGCTGAGAGGAAGGAAACACACACACACACACACACACACACACACACACACACACACACAGGCACAAAGTGAGAAAGGAGGACCACGGGGAACGTCATTCAGAGGGGATGGGTGACAACGACTGCAGGTTTCAACTGCGTTCTTTCGTTACCTGAGGCATGCCCGAGGCAGGAGGGTGTCAGGTCGCGGTCACAACTTCAGTTCAAGTGAGATCTGCTGCAAAAACACAACCAGGTTCAGATCTGAACATCGAGATGAAACAAGGAAGAGGAGACAGCAGAGGAGCAGAAGAGCAGGGAGATGACAGGAGAGGAAGAGGAGGCGAGGGTGTGATTTACCTTCGGTTGAGAGTTGTGAGGGTCAAGGGGTGGAGCTCTTTTCACATGTCGCAGCCCTGCAGCTCTCAGCCTCCCAGCCTGGAGCGGATGAAAAGAAAAGGAGGAACAGGAAGGAGGGAATCAGACAGGAGCTCAACATAGGCCACACTGCAAATTATACAGCAATAAACAGTGAAAGCAAACACATCGTTAAACCGTAGAGAGGTATGGGGGTGTGATGTGTGTCTGTGTAGAGTTTTGAGTGTGAGCATATGGACATTATCAGAGTTGAACCGTTTTCTTGATAGGAAACAGCACAAGTTATTCAGTTGTCATTACATTCAGCCACAATGAGAAGAGACAGAAGCAGTAAAGAAGATAAAACACAGGTTTTAAATGTGTCATTTTCCTTTTTAAACCTTTCACCAGAAAACAGAAGTTATCTGTCACATCCTGTTGTGTTTTCTGTTTACTGCGATGTGTTTTTTTTTCTGTATTCTGTGGTTATGAAGTTAAACATGAATGAGGTTGGAGCTGTTTTTTCTGTTTGTTCAGCCACGGCTATTGTTTTTTTTTTTTTTTTTTGTTTTACATTTGCTGGCTAGTTTTTCTATTAATACATCTATTTATCCAGCATGAAAAAAAACATGCTGCTGACAGAAATGTAGGACATATCATTTCCTGAGAACAACCTGCCAACAATCAGCATTTAAAATAGCAAACAAAGATGCTTTTATGCACTAGATAAAGGTTGAATATCTTACTGTGTAGAGTAGCAATATACTTATGTAACATTTGTAGATGAATATTTCGGCTAATTATCAACCAGCGCGTGTCATTTCAGTGCTGTGTGTTACTATCACAAGCTGCATCAAAGACTAACTTTGATGTTATTTTGGTTAAAATAAATGACACAACCCGAGCAGGAAGAAATGAAGAAACAATGAGTGAGCCGGAAAAGGAGGAGAGTTTAGAAAGAAAAGGAAGAAGATGGAAAACAGATTAGATAAGTTAAACACTTCTTGGAGGCAAAAATGGGCTCCATTTAGCCTCAACGGGAGGAGTGGAAACACATTTTTCTTGCTCAGTCGGGGACAGGAGAGGAGGGAGAGTAGATCCTGGAGGCCCTCCTGTGCTGAGCTAGCCAGGTTAGCTGAGTGACTAGCAGCATTAGCTCGTATCATGACTGCCATTGTTGTGAATGAACAAAAAAAGAGAAGTCATTGTCATTCATATTTTGCCCTTTGTTCCGCCTTTGACATGATGAAACGGGTGGTATTTTATCTTTATCTTTTGTCAACAAATCCCATGCACAGACCCACGGCCGGCTCTCCCTACCTATCGGCTCTAACCCGAGATGTAAATCCTTAAAAAGACGGCCACCGTGCTCTTGTGAGTGTTTCCAGCAGCAGGACGGTGTACGTGGGGCTGAGAGAAAATAAACTACAGTGTGTGTGTGTGTGTGTGTGTGTGTTTATGTCACCAGTGCAACAGTGCGGCTCAGTTTTTGGACAACAATGGAGCTCTATGGCACAGAGGAATGAGATATATCAGGCCTTAGCTAGCTCTACCACTTAGCTAGACACATCAGGCTTTGGCTACACACACACACACACACACACACACACACAGTACTTAATAGCACTGTCAAGTCATTGTTAGGCATTTTTTGACAAAAAGGAAAATCCTTTAACCCAACTAAGTTGTCCTCTTGTCCTCTGCTTCTTCGACTCCACCCAATACGGTTAAACTCGACCAATGAGATCCCTGCCTGCTCTGCATCGGTTAATGTTTGTGTAACCAAACCTCCAATTCTCCATTAGAGGGGAGGCCACAGTGCAAACTACTGATCAGACCGAGCTCCTTTCAGACGGGGACATGATGAAACAGCGAGCAACACTAACACACACACACACACACACACACACACACACACAGTGCGGGAACAATGCAGACCTACTGTTCAGTACCTGTGGAAAAACCGGGAGAAAGCAGCTCACACTGACCCAGGTTCAGTGATTCAAGAACAATGCCATAATACGCTCTCTGTGGATTGACCTCAGGCACACAAGAATGAGGAAATGAGGATTGGCTGGGCGGTTATGACACTGCCTTGGCACGCCACATGGAAAACTGGTATTTGGCACACAGAGCAAGCCAGCTACCAAAATGCTGTGTACACAAACACTTATCGGACACATACAGTGTTTTGAAGTAGATAGCAAAACTGAAGGAAGGAATGTAACACATCCCAGAAAGTGACAAACATAAAAAGGATACACATCTTTATCATAAGGTTTCAGCAGTAGTGATACGAGCAGGCGTATTTGACACACAAAGCACTGGGAGTTTACACAGGGTTTAAGACTATGTACATTTTACGTCAGGAGTTTGCTTGACAACAATACAAGTAGTTCAAGTGGTGATTATGAGTGTTTCTTTCCTTATACAAAAAAAAAAAAAAAACCTCATACACCCAAATATGTCGCTTAGTGCAAACAATAACATAACCCATATGCAAACTGATCCACCTGATGTGCTCTCCACCAGTTCCTTTAATCTCCTTTATCTGACTACAGTGTCCTTCTGGGTATTTGCTCTTTTTACAAGGTAAATGTACACGCTGAAACTGAAGCCCCAAACAGATCCTTCTTTATATTTGTTTATATACTGGGGCTAATATGGGAGCCAGCCGAGCCTCCGCACAATAACAGTCCTGTAATCATTTAGTGTGTGTTGGTTCAACATAGGCCCGGTCCAAAGGTCTCCGTGCTCATAAACGCACTCGACACACAGAGTTCACGGTAAGGCAACAGACGAAAAGAAAGTGCTTCATCTCAAACCACTGCAGGTTAATACCCCCAATAACCGTCGGCTTTATGATCAGCCACCGACTCACTCTTTGTAAACAAGACTCCACAAGCTAAGGATGCCAACACAACCGAAGATTATGCAACAACTATAGTGACAAAACAAACACGCATGCTTACATTCACTCATTGGTTCACGTAGTGCAGTCTGTGCATGACACTTTTACTTGTTTTACCGAGAGAGCAATCCACAGGGGACATTTTAAGGTCTACTATGTCACATTTTCACCTTAAGGCCAGGACACACCAACCCGACGCCCGACCGTCGGCAGAAAAGCAGTCGGACTGATCAGTCGTCTGCCGTCTCCCCGAGTCGGTCAAAAAAAGTGCCCCGAACACACCAAACCGACGCTGACTGGAGCGTACGTTCTGCGCGTGTGCGAGGCGTAATACTTCCCCATAACAGCAGGTGGCGCTAATCTGTGTTGTCACCCAAGAGAGTGTTGATAGTAGTCAAGAAGGATCGTTATTGTCATTACTCGCTGAACGGGAAAATACGATGGCTAATAATAACAAGATACTGGCGTTGGCGTAGTATGTTTACCATCGTCACTTCCGGTTATCTTGTGCACTCACTGATTCGCTAGTCAAGGGCTAGCACTCCACCAATCAGATTGGTCATTGAGGCCGACGGCCACTGGTCGATTCTACATGTCGAATCGGCCAAAATGAACGCCAACGCCGAACTGACTCGAGTCACTGACCTTGCCCGACTGTCCCGACGTCAGACGGCCGATAATCGGGTTGGTGTGTCCGGGCCTTTAAAGGTTCAGTGTGTGACATTTAGGACGATCTGTTTTCATGAGTGTACAATCACCTGAATATAGGAATCGTTATGTTTTTGTTACCTTAGAATGAGATGTTTTTATCTAGGGATGCTGCGGGTCGCCCCTCCTGGAGGCCGCCATGTTTCTACAGTAACCCAGAACGAACCAACCAAACACTTCGGAAGGGAGGGCGAAGTGAGTGAGTTGCAATCTGCAACTACACCACTAGATGCCACTAAATCCTGCACACTGCTCCTTTAAAATGTCTAAAAGAAATGTTAAAACCCGGAGAAATCTGTAATATCATTCAAGGTGCGTTTCATTTGGTCACCTGTGAATGGCGTCATATCCGCCTTACCGCTTCCGGGGAAACGGCAGAGAGTGAGGAAGCGTCGTCTGCGAACGACACTAAATGCAGCATTAATAAAACGTTAATGCGTTACGTCGTCCCTAAACATGATTTCTGCCGGAGTCACGTGAGACAGTTTCACCAGCTGGTGGTTGTTTAACAATGGTAACACCAACTCCCATGAGCCAACGCTTCTTCATGAAGTCATCAAACTACAACCACTTGGTGGGAATTCAATACTGTCTGTTAAAATACCTTCTCAACCTTCCATCAGTAATGCACAGGAGCAATTGTCCTGAACACTGTGTGAGCAGCGGAAATGCTAAAGAATAATGACCCCATATCTTTGCAACAGCAAGGCCGGCTATTGAAATCAATGTGTATCACGCCATAACATACGCTACCAAAACGCTGCCAGACTGTAGGGCTGTAAAGATGAGTTGTTCCATAAATTCTTTGTCTGTTAAACGTCCAAAAAAGGTTAAAAAAAAAGTCTTTAAATAGCTTGTTTTGTCCAACTAACAGTCTAGAATACAAACATATTTAGGTTAATACCACTGAAGACAAACAAAACCTGTACATTTTCAAAACTGAGAAGCTGGAAGAAGGAACTGTTTGACTTTTCTTCTTAAAACATGATTTAAAAAATAAATTGATGATCAAAAATAGTTGCAGATGGATTGTTTCCTCTCTACTATATTTCAACAGTGTATTACAATGTGTTTGTGGTAGAAAATATGACTATTGTGGTATTTCTGTCAGACTGTATCCTTATAAAAGTCAGTTATCACACTTCATTATTAGTCCTCTGGTGTGTGTGAGCGGTTTCTAATAACCTTTTAGTACTTTAAAGTGTTTATATCCCATTTCATAGCAGGAGTTAGTGAAAACTTGTTTTTACACAGTAACTTTCAAAATAAAAGGCATTATAGAATAACTAGCCTATAGCTGATTATAACGCACAATTCCTCTCATCCACACATGTGCCAAACACATCTGAGAGTGGAAACAAGTGAGTCTGACAGTGGACCATGAGGCAAATTTAAAGCATTAGCAGTCTGACCAGACAATGAACCTTCAGCAGCTGGAGGCCTCTTTAGAAAAAAAAAAAAAAAAAAAAGCCCTCCTCCTGTATGATAGAGGACGGCGCGGTTATGGATGGATGGAGGTTACGCACGGAGAGACGAGAAAAAAGTGAATTAGGCAGGAGTCCATGAAGAGGCTGTGATGGCGGAGAGTGTGCCCGAAAACAGGGAGGAGTAGACGGGGGAGCAGGGGGGGAGAGACGGTCTGGCTGTCGGTCTGTCTGGGAGGCCAATTTGCCAAATTAAAGCTCCAAAAATCTGGGCGGCGGACAAAGCTCCGTCTCGCCTGGGAAATCTCCATTTCTCATCTAATTAAATCAATAAAAAAATACTTGAATCACAGCAAAGCACAAAAAATAAAAAATACAAACACCCTGAACGACCTGGATGCGCCCCCCGTCTCTCCTCTCCGTGTCCTTGGAGCTCCGTTTCCCGTAACGATGGAGAGCCAAAGTGGCCCCCGTCTGCCGCCCCTCGCCTCGGCTCGCTCCCTGTCCATCCGGTGCGCGTCCCGCTCTCCCCGAAAAAAAACCCAAACAACCCCTCTCCGACGAACCGATCCGTGCAGCAGAACTGACGGGGCATGACGGTGCTGTGTGTCCGCACAGCTGGATGGAACAACACACGGAGCCAGAGCAGGGGGAAGAGAAGGTGCCATGGTGGCAGCCAGCAGTGTGTCCCGCATGGCACGGCGAGCCGAGGAGCCGAGGAGCCGCACTTCCACATCCAGACTCCTCTTTTCTATTTCACACTGCACAATTCACAACCCGTGCATTTTTATTTGTCAGAAAAACAAAAGCATTCATTCCTACCAGAAGCGGCCACCACGCGTCGCGGAGTATCCAGCCGAGACAACAGGGATCGTTTCAGCGCAAGACAACAATAAAAAGGGGGCGCAGCTGGCAGTGCCACCGGATGTCCAATATTAATTGTTAATACGGCCGATTTCTGAGCATGTGGATCGGCTTCAGGGTTTTAAAGGATCCAGCTCCACGCACGTATAAAGTCTGTTCCTGCCCACACTGCCTCGGACTTTTTTTTTTTGGTAAATATCAAAGTTGACGCGAAGAATAAATCACAGAACAAGTTTGGCTGCTGTTCGTCCACCTGCAGGTGCTGCCGCCGATCGGTGGTGGTAATGTTCCTGTACAGGCCATTTTAAGTTATATACTCGGTATAAAATGAAGGTTTGTTGCAATAAAAACTGTAAAGTTTGCACAGGAAAAAAAAAAAACCCCCACACACACACACAATGGGAGCGATTTATTCTCACACATATGCGCAGAAATATGAGCAAATAAAAGCAGAAATAATGAAAAATATAAAGTATAAATGCGTGGTGGGTTGTTAAAAAGGGTTGCAGGAATGTATTAAAAGCACCAGTTTTTATAAATATTGTTTTGTTTGTTTGTTTGGATACGGTGCATTCAAAATAATCCAAGTCAAGTGTGTGCTACTGTATGTAAATCCGTGTGAAAGTAGCCATTTTTTTAATCACAGAAGCCCGTTAAAGCACACATAATGCCCCCGTGTCTCTGCGCTGCCTATCTGTCAGGAACTTCGCGGTCCTTAAACTTGATGGAAACGCGCATTTTTATCCGCCTGTAGGCTCACAGCTGCGAGCCGGGGCTTTCTTTCTTTCTCTCTGTCTGTCTTTTTTTTTTTTTTTTTTTTACCTTATCGCGTGTCCTCAGATGTCCCCTCGGAGTCAAGGCTCCTCCGGACGGGGGTAAAATGTCGGCCTCGGCCTCTCCAGATGATATTATTACGCACCATCCACGGAGCGGAGAAGAGCCCCGCACGGACAACCAGCGGCGGCCGCTCAGCCCCGGAGAGATCCCGTTCAACCTACAGCCGCATGCAGGAAGTTAGTTCACAGTAGTAGCGAGCTGTGGCCTATATGGCGGATAAACGGGACAGAAAATATGGTTGTAGGACTGTTAAACACCCCTCCTCCTCCTCCTCCTCCTCCTCCTCCTCCTCCTCCTCCTCATGGCTCTCCCTCCCCTCCATTGGTGCACAAGCGTACCGTTTAGGAGATGAGCGAGTGGGAGAATAAAAGCAGTCATCTCGCCCCCCCCCAGCCTCACCACCCTGCAGCTGATTGCTTTATTAATAAAGTTTTACCGGCTGGTGCCAACAACACAACACTGGAGGACAGCCCCCCCCCCACCCCCTCCCTCCCGGCGGCGCGCTTTAAAAACACTTTTTCTATATATATTTTTTTTTGGGGGGCAGAGACACAAACATTAAAAAAAAAGGGAGAGAGAGAGAGATGGAGGGCGTGGATCCGCGCGGTTGGATGTGTTGCACAGGCGATAGGTCCTCTTTTGTTGTGGTTGTTGTTGTTGTTGTTGTGTGTCCGTGTTGTTGTTGTTTACGCGCGGGGGGAGGGGGGTTAGCTGCGTGCTTCAGGTAGAGAAATGAGTTGTGAGCGACTGACCTGGTCGGGATGGGAAGTGTGTCAGCTGTGAAAACAGTTGCAGCTCTCATCGGCGGATTGGGGGGCACTTGAGTTCACGAATAATCCCGTACACCGACTGTCAATCCTCGAGAGATTATCGTGGCACACTTCTGGCCCGGGGTTTCAGAATAAAGGTCGCTGCGTTTGTTTGTTCATTACAGTGATTCCCAGCCTAGGGGTCGCCAAAGTGTCACGGGGGTCGCAAGGCCTTCTTGGTTTTAAGGGGTGTAAGATAACGTATATGGCAGCATTGTATTTATTACTGGGAAGAAAACTGAATGAAATTGTTTTTTTTTTTTAAAGATTAAGGCAAAGTAAACTTGAACTCAAGCTATAATCATTCTCTGATAAACAGCCTCGTCCTGCATTAGACAAATATGCAGTTAATATAACCAAAGAGCTAAATGAACAATGGCCAAATGTCAGGGAGAAGAAAACACAGAATTTGACCCCAAAAAAAGGTTATTAAGTATGAATGACAGAGGATTGTATAAGGTAGTCCCTAAAAATAATAGAAAAACTCATTTCTGATGCAATATTTACAGGAAATAATCATAACAAAAATGTTCAAATTCCTTTAATTGCTTGTTTTACACAAACTCCCTGATGTTTACATTATGATGCAAAAAAAGAGAACCACCAGAACATTGAGACCACTTAAACTATTAAAAAATATAAAATATTTTCTAATCAATCTGGTGATTTTTTATTTTATAGATTCCAAATGAAAAGAAAAAACACTCGACCTATACTAATACTAAGTAGTTCTGTTATTAGTGCAGGTATTGGATGTAGAGCTTTGATGGGGCCCAAAAAAAAACCCAACCTAGCCCAGAGAAGATTCTGTGTGAGCCCAAACCACCATAAATAAATAATTACCAAAATTAATAAATAACCAATGAGCTCATTAACTACAGTTGCATGCATTATTAATAAAATATTAAATATATATTTAAAAACAATCTAATTCTGTCCGAGCCCGACCTTACGGCAGCAGGTGTGGGAACCAAGCGGGGACCGTAGGGTCCAGTCGGGTTCAGGCTGATAATTAAAGCTCTAATTGGATGATCCTTGTATGGCTTAACTCTATGCTACTAAACCGTACACAAAAATCATAAAAAATCTTTAAAATAAACACCTTTACTTTAACTTTAACAAATAAATGTCAGAACAAGTGTAGTTGTCACATGGATTCAAAAACATACAGTGTTTCCAGTTGGGATAACAAATCAGATCTGACATGATTACATTTTAACCTTCATTTTTTTCCACCATATATAAAATAGAATTTTGTTCATTTCCGTGGGGCTTTTATTATGAAAAACGCACAGCTGTGTTTCCGGTTTAGTGCTGATTGACTGTCGGCAGCTTGACTCTCAGCGGAGCTAGTGAAAACGGATATGGTTTACGACACAGCGTCGTCAGAGGGGCGGGGTCACACGACCCGTCTTTAAGGACACCGGGAGGACTGGGGCTGTGAACCCGCTGACCCGAGCAGGTCCCCGGGCAGCTTCGCAGCAGAGTCCCGCTGGAACCACTTCGGCTGCTTTCCGACACGTTTGAATGAAGTTTTTGTAAGAAAACTTTACGTAGTCGGCCTATTTCTCAGCATGTGGTTCTTCTGTGTAGAAAAGTAAAAGTAAATGTAAAGTAAACTGTTCAATTAATTATCTAACAGAACAATGGCGAAGGGCCAAGGACGAGAAAACAGTGAATTTGTCATAAAATAAATATATTTGATTGTATAAAATGATAAATAAAATACATATAACAGACAATTTTATAAAAGTTCCCTTAACAGGAAATAATCGGCTCAAAATTCATCCAAATCACTTGTTTTACACAAACTTCTTGCAGTTACTGAGTTCACTATTTGGGTTCATTGTACAGTTTTGAATATAAATATAAATATCCATAAAATATGTCACATAGTTTACTCAAAGATAGAAAAGGGGTTGTGGTGTATTTTCGTGGCTGCCAATAGTTGGTCTGTGGATGACTGAAAAAGAAAAGGTCGGCCCCTCTTCTTGCTTTGATTTAGGACTTTATTGAAGAAAAACAAGTGAGTTTCAGATGCATCTTCTGGCCGAATTGTCCTACCCCTCTCCCCCCTGTTCAGCCCTTATATACCAGCACATAAACATCCTATAGGCTCCAAAACTGACAGAATTTCCTGTTATGAACATAGCTGTCTTTTGTATACACATAAGCGGATGTTTCCTACACAAACTTCCTAATCTAAAGTCTTCCTGCACACCTAAAGTGTGAGGCACCAGATCCCATCATGTGAACATCCTGCTTTTCACACATAGGGAGAGAGGTTTAATGTATGGACTTTCAGAATAAAATATCCCTCATATCCCTCAAGGAAATCTACCACTGATTGTGCTCTAATACATTAAGTAAACCTACGACCACTGACTAAGTGACATATTTTATGGCTGCTTCATATTATATTACTGCATATTATACTCGACTGCACAATGAACCCAAATTGTAAACACAATAAATGTGGGAAGTTTGTGTAAAACGAGCTACTAAGATTTAATTTTGAGCTTTATTTTGACATTATTATTGTGAGTTTTTGTGATATTTTTAGGAACTTTTTACACAATCCTCTGTCATACTTACTGAATAGAGTTTTTTCGGGGTCAAATTCAGTGTTTTCTTCTCCCTGACACTTGACTATTGTTCTATTAGCTCTTTGGTTATTTTAACTGCTTGTTTTTCTAATGCAGGACGAAGCTGTTCAGCAGAGAGAAACTTAAAAAAAACAAACAATTACATGTAGTTTTCTTCACAGGAATAGATGAAATGCTGAGACAGGCCTGAGGCCTGCTGTGTATATTTTTTATGTTTTCTTACACCCCTTAAAAATCAAGAAGGCCTCGCGACCTCCTGTGGAGCTTTGGCAACCCCTAGTGGGACCCGCAGGCTGGGAATCACTGCTTTACGTCATCCAATATCAGCTCACTTCAGTTAGTTTGAGTTCACTTTATTGAATTTATTGTAGTTAGGAAAGTTCAGATTTCGTCTTAATTTTATGAAGCAAGAAAATAGTCTGAAAAAAGTACATTGTATTGAATTAAAGCTGCAGTAGGTAATATCTGCTGAAACATTCACTATATCCTGACTGTAGATTGTATTTGACGACCTGGGAATGAGACACAACAATCCACTATCGGGTCTTTAAATCTTTCTCGTTTGGACCCGGTGGATTCTTGCAAATGCCGTTAGGAACACTAGGACGAGCCAGAGGAAGCTGATCTTTTCACACATTATCTGTCTCATGTTCTATTGTCAGGATATAGTGAACCTTAAATATAATGCTCAGTACATATCTTAGTCACAACCGTCTAATAACCAAATTTAAGGTACCCATATCAAAATGTCTTTGAAGAAAAAAAAATATTATTACTGGGTTATTTTTAATTATAAAACACCAGCTTTAAAAACCCCGCATCCATCAGGCTCTACTTTACAGTATACTTTGAAATTGAGAGATTAAAAGCTGCATCATCGGGCTCGCAGCTGCTCCCACTTTATTGTCAGTTTACACTGAAATTAATTTAGCACCCTTGGGCAGTTTCGTTCAAGAAATATACACACAGAGATTGAACATACAGTATGACGCTTCCCACAGATGTATAAACCATCAAACATCCTTATAAATATCACATCATATCCTCTGGATTTAGGTCTCAGTTAGCAGCACACTGATTTTGGTTCAGTAACAGGATTGACGGATGTATAGAAGAAATCTTCAGCCTGTTGTGTTTAAATGGAGGAACTTACCGCCTCTTGGAGGGCAGAAGTTGGTATTCTCTGTTCAAAAGCAAGTCTGAGCATGCTTGCTGTGAGTTGCTTGAAAGGAGTGTGCCACAGGTTGGCCAATAATCTCCGCTCAAATTTGGATTTGATTATATTGTTTAGCTTTAAGTTTCACAGATAAGCAGCTAAGCCAGACCGTGCTGCAGCACAGCATGACACTGAATTAAAAATAACCTGGCTACTGGCTCCGAAAGATCAGAGTCTACGAAGGAAGTAAACACGCTGCTGTAACTTCTTACAAATAAATTCTATATGAGGAGTTCCTGATACGGTGGCATCTATCAAAACAGCCAGCAGGTATTTGTATGAAGTACGATTTAATTTCTACATTGCAGACAGTCAGGAGGAAAGACAAAAATAATTTCAACTGTGATGAAGAGAAGCAACACTCTGTAACACAGCAAGTGTTATTTAGGCCAGCTCATATAGCTGTTTGCATAAAGATTGTTAAATCTTAATGGAGAAAAGTAGGTTGCCATGGCGCATGAACGCATTAAGCCACATTTGATGAATATTACAGAGGATAAGCTGTGGGGTGTTTGTGTTTATCTGTCTGTCGGTTAAAGCCTGTATGTGTAGGCCTGTAGGCTGTGTGTGTGTGTGTGTGTGTGTGTGGCCTTAATAATGTGCATTAATTCAGCTTTAATCTGTTTAACCAGAAATGTAGGCCGAGCTTGGATATATCATACTTACAGGGACAATGTCGCCATTTTTGGTAAGTGAAGTGGGCTCTGTGTAGTGCTTGAGGAGAAGCACAGTGAACATAATTAGCCTAGTGTCCTCACCAGGGGCGTATCTAAAGAATTATTCACAGGGTGTCTAGAGGGTGACAGAAATATTTATATATTTTGATGTAATTGCAAATATTCACATACATCAATATTTGCTTGGAAAAGCCCCCAAATGAAGATGTTTGAACTCAAAATTACATTTACATACATATTGAATGGAAATATCTAAAGGTGGCATTAGAAATCAATAAACTGTTCTATTTCCAAATCTTCAGAAATGTTTCCAAATGTCTTTTTTCATTAAACTTAAACCTGTCACTTTGTCTAAAATGTGGCCGTAAATGATCATTAAATTATAAGTGTTAAATTAAAAATTAATCTTGTTAAATTTGAGTGAGTATTTGACACCAAACTGGGGTGGCCAGGCATTTTTTACGGGTGGAAGCTGCCACCCATCAACACATAAAAGATGGACTTCACTTCCTCCTATTCTACAAAAATGAAGCGGAAATATCCTGCATACAGCCGCTCCCATCTTTCACCACTCTGAGCCGGAGTCTGCGTTTCAGGGTCAGCGCCAACTCTATATCTGTCAATGCTGCCACGCCATGTCACCCATCTATATCCACCCCCTGGTCCTCACTCCCGTAGCTTTCTTTCTCAGCAGACCTTTTTCACAGCAGCCATTTTGACACGAAGTAATAGGGTAAACATAGGTGTTAATTAAGGTTCTGTTCCATTTAGTGTAGCAGGACCGTTCTTGTAAGCAAACATGCACAATAGCATGACTCTGTTTGACCTGAATGGAACTGAACCTTAATTAGTATCACTGGTTACACCTGTGTTTACCCTACGACTACATGTCAAAATGGCTGCTGTGAGAAAGGTCAGTTGGTTAGTCAGTCACAAAAGCGCTGCAGCTTTTTTCAGAATGGTCCTGTTGATTTCATGGGCTGTTTACTCATTAATCTGCAGCCGTAATGAGACCGCAGCGCCGCACCACCACTCATTTATTTACAGCTGTGAATTATACATGAATGCTTGTCCTCCTAGGTGGTAACAAAATGAGATAGATTTTATAGAACTTAATCATAACCCAGTGCTGAGCCTGCGAGCATATCACCGCTACATTTCTGCACCAGTAAATATTAATAATTGCACACATTGAACATGTTGTGTTTGTTTCTGAACCTTATTCAGGGGTTGCTGACTGTGCTTAAACATTTATTTAATTTTCCACTGTGATAAAACAAGTGTTTTAAGGAAACAGCTAAGGTTTAGACCTAATATAAAATCACTATTATGTCTTCCTGTGGATTAAAGATACATTGCCTCTGCATCATAACACCCAGTTATCTCCAGGTACTGGTGGGTAAAGGATACTTACAGTGAGACTTACAGCATTAGTTTATGCAGGTGTAACGTAAAATATAATGTCAAACACAAATTTCCTATTCAACCATCTGACAAGCAGTTAAGTAGAAGCATACTGGCCGATTAACACTCACTGCCTGCAGTTGGCATAAGGATCAAAATGGCAGCAGCTATGACTTTCTTTGCCGGTAGATTCGGGGCCTCAAACTGCCAGCCGTCATTTGTAGCCCTCTAACCCCCTTTTTCCTAATTGTTTGATTATCAATTGAAACTACCCACTTGATATACAACTAAAATAAAAACAATTCTATTTTAAAAATGTATTTAGTTTGGTGAAAAATAAAGGTTAAAGGTAGTTGAAGTGGACCTCTTACAATACCAACAGTGGGCCCCAAGCCAATCTGAGTTTGAGACTCCTGCTGTGGATGGTGAACATTAATGTCTTTTCCTCTATAGGTGTGAATTTCTGCTGTTACTCTTTTAGGGCTTCCGGTTGGGCTGGAACTGGTCCAGAACTGAAGCTTTGCATTTGGACAAAATTATCTGTGCATCAATAACACACTGTGCGTGTTGAATATTAAACAGCAGTAGGTTAGTGCTGTCCGTCCTTATCACAGAGAGGAGTTGTATATTTGCAGCTACAAAATATCCATTCATCCACTGTGTGCAACCAGTTTTTTATTTAAATGTACCAAACAGTTTTAGTAAGGACCTTGTTTTTCAGCTTTGATAAAGGTCTAGAAGAAACTGAATTCTTGTTGTATTCGATGAATATTTGCTCAAATGATCAGCTCAATTGACAGTTTCAGCCTTTAAAAGCAATCTTGGCAGGCAAATGTACCTTACCTTTTAGTATTTCACTTGCCAGCTCCTCTTCCTATAGTACATTGCTGATTTCTAAACAAGGGGTTAAGTATTTAAATATTAAAAAAATCTTTAATATTGCGTTGTGCGGAGGTGTATTTTGAGGTCCTTGTTGCAAAATGTTGCAGGCTCTTCCAGCACAATACCTGCACCTGATAGATGAGGTGACTGAAATGATTGTGTGTGAGTCATGCATGCGTGCCTCCATGTGCCATTGTGAGAATCCTGTGTGAGAGTCAACCTCGTCCTTGATTGCCAAGGTAACTTCAACAAACTGCCTTGGTCTATCACCGGGGGCCCCCTCCCTGTCACAGGCAGCGAAACAACATCGGCAGATGCGCTACAGAAAGGTCGACGTACATCATATCTATTTTCTTCTTTGCAGCTTTTGCGTGCGCATGGGTCACTGTATCCTTGTGAGATGAGATTAGGTTTGTATGAGCGTTAAGTTCAGGTATTTGGAAGACATGCAGAGAATCTAGATCATTTAGGTGTGTACGCCAACAAGGAATGTCAACAACATCAACAGAGCAGCAGGACTGTATTAGACATTTAGCTTTTTACTGGGTGTTTCACATACAACGTCACTCACATAGAAGCAGTTACTTCACACTAATACAAGGTCACACATAGGATCTCATCTTCACCAATAATCAGATATGCAATTTAGTAGATTTTTGTAACCATGGCGACTCCTACACACACACACACACACACACACACACACACACACACACACACACACACACACACACACACAAAAATCCATCTCTATTTCCATCCAATGTTGCCAGGAATATTTAACAGATCGGCAGCAGCCAGTTATCAAAAGAGCTGAACTGATTCCTAAAAAAAGGAAAAGAAACCCAAGGATTTTGTCATGTTTAGGGCCAGTTCACACCCAGCATGTTTAGAGGGGTTTATCTGAAGTGTGGAGCGTCTGTTACTTTAGTTCAGTTTGTTCGTCCGGACACCATTTGTTGCCTGATGACTCACAGACGCCCGAAAATGTAACTGTGTCCTCTTGCAAGCTCACTGTAGCACGTCTCGTTATGAGTGGGATTGGGAATGTAATCCAAACCAATGACGGAAACAAACCCGAAACACGAGGGTTTATGGGCACACGTGATAGCCAGCAGTTAATGGTTGGAAAGCCCGACAGAAGAAAATGAAGTGAGAGCAAACCGCAGTCTGGATTGATGCTCGTATTCAGCTTTTTTTCCCCCTTCATGTGCACTTCACTGGTATGAACACCAGAGACTTAAACACACCACAGAGCTGAGGTTACAGGTGTCAGATTTATTTTGACTCTCCACCAGCACCAACATCTCTTATCTTTGGCAGGTTGACCAAAGCTCCAGTCCAATAACCGAGCTACTTGGGAGTCCATGTGGCTTTTGTTTACAAGCTCTGGTTCACTTGGAGTGAAACTGAACACTAGTGTTCTGGCGAGGAGAGCCTCACTTTGTTGGGTGTGATCAGGTGTGATCGCACTCTATTTTAAGTGGGCCCCTACCCCTAGCACACTGAAATGTATCCACATTTAGATGCGTGCCACCACCACAACTACAAAGAGGGCTGGAGGAAAAGATACAACGCAATTTGGTCTTTCTAAAAAGTAGCTGTATATTGATTTTGATTCTTTTTGGCTGAAGCAAAGTGGTTTTAGAGAGGAGGACGGGGAGGGACAGTGTTAAGGAAGGAGGGAGGGAGGGAGGGAGGAAGGGAGGTAGGGGTTCTCAGGATTGGAATTGGGGAGTGGAAAGAGGAGACATAGTTGTGGTAGTGGCTGGCAGCTCAGACTCTTCAAGCATCAGGAGGAGGCACCAGCATCATATTCAAAGCAAATGTTTTAAAAAAAAAAGTAAAAAATTATGAAAATTGGCAACCTTTCTGAGGCGTTGAGAAGTTATGTAAGTCAGGAACACAATATATACGCTGTTAGGCGGATGTACATATGTAGCCAAGAATAACAACAAAGTTTTATGATGTTGGCGACTTCCTCTGAGCTTGAAGACCTTATCGGTTCACTGTTAGTGTTCAGGCTGCTGCTGTCTCTCGGCCCATTGACTTATTTGTGCTAGCTGGTATTGCACAGAGAACGACAAGAAACGCCGGCGTCTGATTGGTCATCAGCGATCATTGTCCTGCACTGAGAGAGGAGACCACAGTCAACAGAAATAAACCTCGACCTCTGGACCTCTGGTGACTGACTGTTCCAGCTACTGGTGGTGTTACCGCACAGTAACTTGCTCCGTACTCAAACGCATGTGTACAGATTAACATGTGCACTCTGCCTACAATTAGTACTGTATTTAAAAAAAAAGTTTTCTTACACACTTTAATAATTTGAGTCTCTTCTTAAAACACACTTTTATAGTCTTGCCTTCCTGATTTTTCTATTCTTTTATTCAATCTGGTGCTATGGTGCTTAGTTTTCTGTTGTTTTTAACCAGTCAAAGCACTCTGTAAACCCTATTTTGAAAGCTGTTATTTTAAGCTGTTTATTTCTATCATTATTAAAATCAAGAAGGCCATGTGAGCCCCCCGTTAAACTCTGGCGACCCCTAGTGGGTGATGTGCAACTATTAACTGCAATGATCAGTCTCGTTCAGAAACTTGATTTAAATTAGATAAGTTGTCTTTTGAAAACCTAGTATTCCTTATTTTCTAACTGCACTGCACTTTGTCTAAATATCCAGCATCAGCCAGTCAGAGGCATCGATCACTTATAGGATTTTTATAGGGTTTCTAACAGATTAAGCTGTCGGAAAATGTCTATGTGCAATAAAATAACACTTCCTTTTGTTTAATGTACTTGTTTCATCTGCTACTGAAAAGATGTGAGGGTCACTCTGCCTTGAAGCGCCCCTAAAACCCCCGAGAGAATTAATTCGCTGAAGTTTAAATAAAAGGAATGTGATGTAAATGCCTGAAAAAAAAATTTTTTTGGGGGGGGTTGGGATGAAATTTTTAAGATGGTGGAAATTATCACCAAATCTATCAGCAGCTACCAGACGCTTGGATCCAAAAAGCATGTCCCTACAGTACAACCTACAGTACATCTGTACACAAGCGAGGCGAGAATGGGCAGGATTTCATCAAAAGGGGTCGAGTGGAGAGGGACTGAATTGGGCGATGAGATCACCATGGCAACGAGGACCTCCGTGGTGTAGAGCATGAGGGGAACGTGGGAGGGAGTTTCATGCTGAAGTAGTCTAAAGTGGGAGGGAATTCGCTCTTCACTTTTTTTTTTTTTTTTACGGTTTTGGGAGATTCTCATGGCGGCGGTCCAAGCACTCACAGTAATGAACTCTTCACACACACTCACACTCACACACACACTATTACATCACAGATAATAACAGTTATATAACAAGACCGTGTGGACACTGAGGTAATTACAATGCCCTTACATCAGTGCCTGCAGGCCAAATAAATACAAACACTTAGAAAAATTCATGTTCCCTGATGGCAGCAAAACCAAAAATGTAAACAACACAAAAATAAACTAAAGGATCTTAAGGATTGCACATTTCAGTGATGGAAGATTAATATCTACTCCTAACAGATGATGTTACGGTTTCACTGGAAATCATTCTTCTCGGTAACAGACATAAAAACACTCAACGCTTTTGTTCACGAATCCTGTCAAAGTCACAACTTCAAACTGCGTGTGTTGTGGGGGTCACGAGATGAACTTAAGTGGCTCCTCCTTGTTTTAAAACACCCATGTCTTAATAAACTCCTAAATCTGAAATTCCAGGGACTGTACATAATTGTCAAAATTGCCTTTTTCGGTTGTTGTGTCATCGTTTCTGCAGATTGTGTGTGTGGGAATGTTTAATAGTAAGGTGTTACGTTGAAAGAATAGTCCAGCCAACCACGGGGGAGGAATGATGAGCGGCATCACGCCACACAGTCCTGGAACAGAGAGAAAAACTGATTTCAACAATTTCCTCAATCATGGACATTGCTTACATTCAGGATTAATGACTGTGAGGGTCTTAAACAGCTCAGTAATTCAGAGAGCAGCATGGTCCATGAGCACGAGTGGCTCAGAGCAAACATGCCTTTGAAACATCAGAAAAGTTTTTGGAATTTTACCCAGCTCATTTTTTTTTCATGCAGTTGATAAATATTCACGCATGAATGCCACTTCTGTCACTGTAGGCAGTTTAGTGGCAGGGTTTTTCTCCCCCCCCCCACTGCGTTCTGAGAGAAAAAGATGAAATGGTTTTTGATTTGCAAACATGCAAAAGTACAGAACGCAGCCCGAAGGATCAAAAAACTGTTGGCACAAAGAAGCCGGCAGAAAAGAAAATATACAAAAGTATAATGTTCTCATTTTCTTTCAAATCTTTCCGTGTTTCTTCTCACTACCAGCTAGCAGTGAAACAGCAATAAGTCCTACTTTAGTCAGACGCTCATCTTAAAAACCAGCATATATACATGTATCCATATACATGGTGAAGTGTGCCAAAAGCTCTCTTCAGATGCATTAAGACATGTTGCACTTAATGCTGTTTAATCATAATTCAAAGTACAGGCCTGGTTTTGATTAAACAACATTACATTCGGGTTTCTAATGTGGATCATTTGTAGGCAAATCTTTATCTTTAAGTATGACTACATTTGCATGAATTGGCAGTTTGCATAGGTTTGCATAAAAAGCAATATGATGATGATTTAGCATCAGTCAAATAAATATATATCATATTTTGAAACTCTTTACTCTTAGGGGAAATTATCACGTGTTAATGTTGAAGTGCTGAAGCAGCTCTCAGCTGGAGTTAATCAATTAGTCTGTAGAGCCAGAGAGCTAGTGGATGGGTGTTGTAACTTTTACACGATGAACTTTTAAAATGACTGGCTACAGGAGATTTATTCGGAGGCAAACAAACTCGTTTTAGAGAACCGTGCTTCATGCGTGGGTGCAGGGGAAGATCTGTTGAGGGGCACAATACTGCATGAAATATTCTATTCAATCTTTATATGTTTGAAAATGTAGTAGACATAGTAGTGTATTGTGGATCTAGACCCGTGACCGCGTACCACCTCTCTCTCCTTGCACCACCTTTCAGTTCATGCAGGTTTATTCTAATAAATGTATCATTTATTATTCACTGTTGTTGAATCCTGAAGAGAACCGGTTCAAGAACCAGAGCCAATTTGCTACATAAGAGGCTAATATTGAAACAAAATCTTACTGCTAATGCAAAACCTATTCTAAATTACATTTCAGCTCTCAGTTTAAATAGTATTTTGATATCATAATATAGCACCACTGGTACACATACCATAGTTTGAGAACCAGTGATAGACAAACAGTGGTAATGGCTGGACATGTCAGTGAGCCTCTGGTTCAAGTTTTCTCCTGATAAACTCACCTCGTTTACTCCCAGAAGTAGCGCAGATACCATATAGTTTCATTCTTCAGCTGAGGGCCGAACAGAGGGTTGGTTTGGGCCAGAATGGCTATCAACCAACTGAGTAGAGAGAGAGAGAGAGAGAGAGAGAGAGAGAGAGAGAGAAAGGATCATCAACACAAAGACCAAACCACAGGAAGTCCAAAGAGGACACAAGAGATTTCCAATGAGCCCAGTTTCAACCAACTCTCAACAGTTATTTGGAGGTCTAAATGAATGTGGATATTATTTTATCTCCATATCAATCCAACATAATCGTCTTCGCTGCCTTGCGAAGACACTAATGAGCTCAACCTGCAGGCTGCCGTGTTTTCCTAAACAAAGCTTGTTCCGGGCCTGTTAACTGTATTTTATTAGTATTTAAATTAGAAGATATAAAACAGAACCGGCAAGAACAAAAAGAGCTATGAAGTAACAATTGATGGTATAATAAGTTATAAAGCAAACTGTATGTTACATAAAAACCTCAAGTTAAAACACAAGTGATCCATATTCTACACAATAAATCATATCAACATCATGTATTTCTTCTTTAGCTTTCTGCTTCCATCCAATCTTCTCCAACTCATCCAGATACATCGTTTTCAAACTAAAGATAAAACAGTGCAGACGTTCTTAAGTTTGGGACTCTACTATTGTCAGTGGTTTTTATTCGTTGACGAAGGGTTAGTCATCCCCTAAAGGAGCTGGGGCTCCCTCTAGTGGTGATATGATAATCCTGCATGCACATCCTAGTTGTACTTGAATTACCACCTCTTCTGCACAGTCATTATTATAGAAACGACACTATACATAAAACAAAATAGACCTTTTTCCAGATGATTTATATGATTTCAAACTCACGCCGATAGATCTCTGTGTTGTACGGAAGCCGAGAACGGTCGTGTTCGCAATTCATTTTTTTTAAAAGTTAATTTATCCTGAGAAAACAAAAGGCTGATTTCTCGAGATAATGAGATGATTCATCATTAGATATCTTACGTTTTCTGAGATCATGGGAGAAATTAGTGAAAACTTGAGTTTCTGGTTAATTTGATCACACCTGATTTAAGCCTTTAAGATGACTATCACGGCTGTAGGGGAGGATTCATAAAGCAATTCATTTCCTGCCAATGTGACACTGACAAAATATATCAGGAGAGCACTGAGTTGTGTTAAATGAGCTCAAAGATTCCTGCAATGTCCAGATCCTTTCCATGCACTTCTGCTGCTGGCTCATTTTGGTCATTATGGAAATGAACGTTGCGTGTCATTCCTCCATGCATTGTCCATCATGCTGAACCAACGCTGCATCTATAATACGCCATCTGTGCATCTCGTGATAACCAAAGATGACAAACTAATTAACTGTTAGAGCCAGAGTTTTGTTTTTAAGAAAAGAATAGCTTGTCTGCATGTGACGCCACGTCAACTGCAGGTCACAAACTCTCAAAATACCTGTTTTGTGTTGTTTAAGGTTGCTAAAATCAAACCTAGAAGTTTTTATCAAGTACTAATAGTTGTTGTTCATAAGAGGGAAAAATGGTACTTCTGTGGATGGGGCAGCAGCAAAATGTAGCAGATTTTAAAGAGTCGATATCAATTTAAGTGTGTGCTATATTTAGAATATTTTTACTGCTTTACCTTGCCATCAGACCGCCCGTTCAGACTGGGAACTGAAGCTGTTATATCCTTCTATGCTCTCTTCAAAGCCACCAGACTCCTTTAACAAAAACTGTCATTTTAGCTCTCAGAACACAGGAGTTGTTGGTCTACCGCAACCTCGATCAGTCGGACAGTGTTATTGTCTGACTTTGGTGTTTAAACACATTAGTTCGGATCAGTGCAGTTGCTTTAAGGAGAGCCATATAACAACTCCAGTTCCCAGTGAGTCGGTCAGTGAGAAAGTCTTTAAATTCAAACAATCAGACGTCTTCACGACACAAGAATCAGCTCCAACACGTGCTGCGGGTTTCTGTTTGTACCTTTCTCTCTAATATCGTTTAAACAAGCACAGCACAGATCTGTTCTGCTTTTCAATTCCTGCCCTCCAACTCAATTTCATACGAATCACATGACTGCAAACACGCTGCGTAGGAGCCAACGCCCCGCCCCGGCCAACTGACTGCAGGTGTGTGCAGGTGGTAGTTGGAACATGGCATCCAGCCTAAGTTCTCAACCACCGGCAAACCGCTCAAAAGAAACCAAAATATATAGAAACGAATGTAAAGAAGGGAGTGTTTAGGGTCGAGAATATTTTATTTGAATTAATTTAGTTTGTGAAGGCCGGTTTTATTCATGAATGATAAGCCACCATAGAAAGAACGTCATGATCAACAGACGTGAGCACCTGCGTTAAGGAAAAAGCGCAAGTTAAAGCTAAAGAGTTCAGTAGTTTCTTTTTTAACCACACAATCCTCAAGATGCCCTTTGAATCCCCTGAAGCTCCATAGATCTATTCTGCATCTATTTACTGTCCAGATCTGTCACTTTCTCTTGCAGGTTGCATACTCAGCTCTTCTGTTTGGTTGATAGCCTGTCCTTGAGAAACCTCCGTAAGCGTCTGAATAATATCTTGTTTCAGTGTGTTTAGATTCTCCTTCATGGCTCTTTTAAGAGCCACTTGTTAGCTGGCAAGAGTCTTATGCAGAGCCTGGCTGAATTCTTGCAGATCCTTTCGCAATTCACTTAATTAGTTGAGTAACTCGCCTCTCTCGCCCTCCCCTCCCAGCAGCATTTTCTCTTTCAAAAACCCATTATGATCACCCATTACACATTATGCTAATTGTTTTCTGAGGTCTCCGTATCATGTTGCTAAGTAGTTAAAAGCTGTTTTCACTGAGTTTTTTTTTTATGGCTGCACAATTGATCGAAATACTATGGAAATCACAATATGGCCAAGTGCCATATGCAAATCACAAGGCTGATAAAGGTAAAAAATGTGTGATAAAACAGCATTATAATGAAGTACTGTATTGCTGCAGAGGTGCTCTGGGCTACAAATCTTCTCCAGATTTAAGAAAACATGTTTCTTTGCTACAAACCCCCCAAAATATCACATGATTTTAATAGTTATCGTCAATCACAATATCTGTCAAAATAATCGCAATGTGATATTTTTACCACATCATGCAGCTGTAGTTATTTTAAAGCCTTGTGATTCGTTATTGATCTTCCCCTCCGATTTGCTCACAGTGCATAAAATTATCGATCTTCAAGTGAGGGACACTGAAACCGCCTGAAGCAGAGTTTGTAACTACAGTGAACTTACTGCAATACACAACAGCCTCACCGGAAGACATTTAATCTGAAAGCACTGCAACATTTTGAAGTAGCAAGGTTTTAAAGTTTCATTGTGCCTGCGTGATCATTGCAGCAGGTCAATATAGCAGAGTCAATGTACAACATGTCAGCAGCAGGTACACCGAAGAGGAAGAGGAGGAGGAGGAGAGTTTGTACTTACAACAAGTAACAGCAGACCGCCGTGAGGATGAGACTGGTGACAATCACACTGTCAAAGAAAACAGAGAGGGAGTTACACTGATGCAGCTCTGTCCACACACACACACACACACACACACACACACACACACACACACACACAGTTCAATATGTTAATCATACCTCCATATGATTTGGTTCTAATAAGACATTTACAAAATATTTAGCTCAGTGGGATGTACAGAGTTACTTACTTTAGGCTACGTGTCCCACACCTAATTTAACTATATGAGATGGTTGGGTGATATAAGGATACAGTTACAGACAGTACAGACTGTCAGAGATAGTATCAATGGTATTATTATGGATGGTTGTATTTTACTGTTGGAAATATTGCATTTAGAAAACTGTTGTATGAATTATCATTAGTATTTTCTTAACTGAATTTGCCTAAAAACTGATTCTTGTGTTTGTTTTCTCTGGTAATTTATCAGTATTACAACCTCAGTATTATCACCCACTCCTACCAAACAACCTGTTTTCAGATAAAACTACGGCTGCACGATGCAGTAAAAACATCATATTGCGGTTATTTTGATGGATATTGTGATTATGTGGGATTTTTGCATCACAAATTGAGTTTTCACTAAAAGAAACAACCTAGATTTGCAGACCAGGGCACGTCTGCAGCACTACAGTGCTTCATTATAATGCTGTTTGTCACAAATTATACCTTCGTCAAAACATTACACCTCTTGCGATTTGCATGTTGCACTTGACCATACTGCGAAATTGATAATATTTAAATTAATTGTGCAGATAAAAATGATAAATAAATTCAGTGAGTTGCAATATGCACTATTTCCCTCTATAATATATTATTATGAGTAAGTTTACTACAAAACAGAAACACTTCCAGGTACCATTGTGGGACAACTGGTCTACTTGAGTACTGTTAAAGCATCTCTGATAAAATAATTAAATAAATTCCGTCGTATTTTGTAGCTTGAGGGGCATGGCCACTGTGAGCCACCGTAACGGCCTCAGCATCACTGTCACTCAACATTAAAGCTATCATCAGATTATTCACCCACTTTATCTTTCCTTCACTGCTGAGCTGACCCTTCAACCTTACAGCCGTGCGGGGGTGGATGCACGGATGAATGGGGGGGGGGTGAAGGGTGGATGCACGGATGAATGGGGGGGTGAAGGATGGATGCACGGATGAATGGGGGGGGGTGAAGGATGGATGCTGGGATGGACGCAGGATGCGCGGCCTCCATCACGCGAGCAGTTCGTGTATTTCTGAAGATGCTACACAGCTGAGCACGGAGTAAACACTGACTGTAAACAATAAGACACGGCCTAACATCTCTACCTGGATTTATTGTGACTAGGATTATGAAAAGAAAAGGACAAATAGTCGCCGTTAATTGCAGCCAATTAACAGCAGATCCACCACCTACCCCCGGTTGGGTCCTTTGGGCACTAAAAACGGAGCCACGACCCCCACCAGCGCCCATAGCGTGGTGAAGCAGATCATCGGGAGGGCGAGAGAGTGAGACACCATCGCTTCAGTCCGCAGAGAACCGCAGATACGGAAGAATTAATGTCGGTTTGTCCTCTTGGAGATAAAGCGCATCAATGGCTGCTGAGCCAGACCGTCTCTTCCACAATGTCCCCGCCCACTTAAGCCAAGGCAACATGTGATTGGTCCAGAGGCAGGAAGCAGCGCTCTGTGATTGGTGCAGCCGGCTGTCTATCAGTATTACAGTGAGATTGATTGGAGGGATGTTTGTGCCAGTACACTGCAGGCAAGTGTATTTTTTTGTTTGTTTGATACGGTCAATGTTTTTCAGCTCGGGAATTTTGAGGAAAATATACAAAAATCTAAATAATAAAGTTCAAATGTTTCTCTTTTGTTAATTATTAATAACGTTATTTATCTTTTAATAGCCGGTAATAACTCTTTAATCTATCAGCAGTATATACATTGACTCATGTTCTGATATCTGCACACACTACAAACAATACAAAATATAAATAATTAAGAAATAAAAATGATCCTATACATAGGAATATAGTGTCTATATTTTTCAATATTATATTTTCTATTATTATTTTTATGTAATATTTTTGTTTTATTGTTCTGTATTGTATTTTTTTTACACTTCTGTCCCCCTGTGCTGCTGTGTCAAACTTAATAGAGGATCATCTTTTAATATCTTATATGCACATATGATAATAAAAAACTTCTTTCTTTCTTTCTTCTTCCTTTTTCTTTTATATTCTTAAACACGTGGATTATTTCCCCCCTGATTATATGTTTATGTGCACACAGTCATTTTACCATTTTGGGTTATAGGCTAACTGGTAACAATACTTCTCAAGCCTTATTTGGACCTTGATTTGCTGTGACAGGCGGCGCAGTATTACCACCCAGTGGACAAAGGTGCAGTCTACATTCCTTACGCAGTGTCCTGCAATTCACGAGGGTCTTATCTATACCCACAAATATTCATTCCACCCAGAGCAGAGACCACTGCTTTCCAGTTTTTAAGTAGGTCAGCTTGCCAGGAAATACCAGATGGCTTACGGCCTGTTGTTCTCAGGATATTTCTAATTTCTTGGCTACACTGGTCCATTTGTGCTTTCTGGGAAAAATAGAGACAAAGTTCTGAGAGAGTTGAGCTTTGTTGATTTCTAAAAGCCTCTACACTGACTAATGAATTCAAATTAATTGGAATTAATGAATTGGAAGTGTACCAGCTGAACATTGTCTCCATTTCCCCTATAATAAATACAAATGTATAACAAATGACATAGTACTCAGAAGAATCTTAAATTACATAAGATCTTAAATGAAATTAAATATAAATAGACCAATATCAGTGTAATAATAGTGCAGTAATAAGTTGCTCCAAACTTAATAAAAGAAAGTAAAACTGCAGTAGAGCAGTGGTTCCCAACCTGGGGATCTTTGGGGCTTTTTATGCCTTTGTTTGAAAGCGGTGAAAGAGAGAAAGAGGGGACAACATGCAGCAAAGGGCTGCAGGCCAGAATCAAATCAAACCCTATTAAGAATATATGATATAAGCTTATGTATGATTGTTAAAAATGACAATAAAAAACACAATATAGACAGAACTATCGGGAAAACTCATCTCTGATGTAATGCTCAAAACTCGTCCAAATCACTCGTTCACTGCGGTTATTGTGTTCACAATTTGGGTTCACTGTACAGTTGTTTTGTACTGTTATTGTTATACACTGAATAAAATATGAAATATCCATAAGATTCGTCACTTAAATCCGAAATCATTCAGTTTATGCCATGATAGGAAAAGGGTCCCTTAAGGAAAAAGGTCTGGAACCACTGCAGTAGAGAAATCAATCAATAAAAGGCAGAACTGGATCGTTTTCTTCTGGGTGAAATACAACAACTTGCAAACACAACAGTGAGATTTGTGAGCGGTTGTGAGCGGAGAGGTTCGTCCAGCGGAAACCAACCACCATCAATCACCTGTATACACCTGCACTGTGCATTCTTTGTACACAGACATACTATACATACATACAAAACAAATACTGTTAAATAACTTGAATTTCCCTCAGGATAAATAAAGTATCTATCTATCTATCTATCTATCTATCTATCTATCTATCTATCTATCTATCTATCTATCTATCTATCTATCTATATTTTATAGTCACTTATTTATATTTATATTTTTCTAACTGCACTGTTATTTTTACCTATCTGTATATATAATGTGCATTTCTTTTTATGTAAATTATTTTTACTCCTAAAGCCCATTTTGAATTTAATTTGAATGTAAAAAAACAAAAAAACTAGTAACTAATTACTAATAAATTTCAGTAACAATATTACAGCTACTCCCCCCAAAAATCATCCAATCAATACATTTTTGTTATTTTGGAGGAAAATAACTTTGGAAGATGGAAACACTTACATTCAGCAGTTGGAAACATTCACTTATATATAATACTTTGATTTTAACAAACAAAACTGACCAGAAAATTAATATAACTAGCAGTGTAACTAATCACTGTTAGCAGGGGGTAATAAGTAAAGTAATAATATTACTTTTTTAAAAAAAAAGTAATGAGTAATGAGTAACAAATGACATTTTTCAGTAACCAGCATAACACTGATGGTTTTATTGTGGTGATTGTGATCGGAAGTCGTGTGTTTTAAATTCTGCTCGTCATTGTTTTATTGTTGTAAGCGCCGGACGTCGATGTGTGTAAGTGACTGCAGGTGTCTTGACGGTGGTGACTGGACGGGCGGAGCAGCGGCGGACCATCAACGGGAGATATTTCACATGAACCGGCAGCCTCACCGGAGGAGGTGTCAGCGCCTAATGAAGCCCGGAGAGTGGTCGTCTCGTCCGGTTGCGACAGTTTAAAGGGCCCGGTAATCCTGGACGGTAAAACCTGATGAAGCTCACCAGAGATATCTGCCGGCTGCTGGGTTTAGGAGGCGGTGAGTAACACTGCCAGCCAGCCGCTGACAACTTCTTACTTTTTTTCAGTCAGAGAAGTTAGTGCCACAGTTGTTATTGTGCTGTTTATTTGTCTGTCAGTCAGGATGTGATAAACAATAATAACATCAATTAAAACAATACATTTCACATATAGGAGCCTCTAAATAAAATAGGTAAGGTAAAGGCTTTAAACTGAGCTGGTAATTTAGTGTTGTGGACACTTTATGGTATTTTATTTAATAGTTTTTGAATCTTGTCTAATGACCCTGGCAAAACATGAAGTTATACATTTTAATTTTTACTTTATTTGGTTTGTTTTTGGTTAGTGGAACACATTTTTTTTTTTTTTTTACACCCATATTTTTCTGTTGTAGTAGAATTGGGTGGCAGTGAATACATGTTAACTGCAGCTTACAGTACTTCACAGTGACTCAGCCCACTCCATTTGCCTAGGCTGCATCAATGTGGAAGTGGATGAGCTAACTTTAGTTTTTAGCTCTGGGCTCACTGTTCTGGAGAAAGAAGGTATTTTTGGGAACAGAAAGTTTGCATGATGCAAAATACCATAGAGGCACAATAAAAGAAATGTGCCCTTTAGAGAAATTTACCCTGGCTGATGATCAATGGGGGAAACACAGCTCTATTAATAACGTAGTCCCAAATGGACTCTAGATGGTGCTGGTTTCGGTGTTCCATTCCAGAGCACATTTGGACCAAGTTATTTACAGAACTTTGTCAGTCTCAGTCTGGATTTGTGTTACTTTAACCTCAACCGTATGCAACGTTTACGTGCTGCGGGAATTACTTTAAATACCAGTTTTGTTAAGAGTGCTCAGGTCACTTTTCAAGTCAGAAATAACCCAATTAAAGCTGCAGTAGGTAACTTTTACAAACTACTTTTTGTCATATTTGCTGAAACTTTCACTGTATCCTGACAGTTTGTACATGAGACGGATCATTTGTGGAAATATCAGGTTAAAAAAAAAACTGTAATGGACATAGTGCTATACTGTCAATTCACAGTATTTTTAGCCCTCTCACAGCCAACTTTGCATTATTACAACCACGTAAAGAGTCATGAACGTGGGACTGTAATCTCTACCTTCCATCCCATTTGACACGAGCCTGGCATTAGTGCTAACCCCAAGCAGCCATCTTTTGGGACGCTTAACCTCAACCCAGTATTACCCTAACCTCCGCTAGCCGTCTGTGCAATGCCGAACTATAACCTCACATTAACCACTAGTAAGGCCTACCCTGGAGGGACGTACTACAGGAAAGAAACAGACTTTGATACCTACTGGACCTATCACAGTGGGACCACAGTGAGCCTGTATTTTAGCATTTAATTTAGAAAACTACATGAATTATTAATTATAATTGTTTTTAAAGCTATTTTTTGGGGCTTTTTATGCCTTTATTTGATAGGAAAGGTGAAGTCAGAGGAGGGAGGGGACGACTTGCAGCCTAATTAAAAGCCTTTCAAGAATGTATGATTATTAAAAAAAATAACAATCTAAAACTGTATAAAACTATCAGGAAAACTAATCTCTGATGTAATGAATACAGGAAATAATCTACTCAAAATTAATCCAAATCACTCATTTTACACAAACTTCCTATTACTGAGGACCAGGACGGGGGTGCCTGCTGAGCCTATCAGACAACGTTTACCTAATACAATCAAACTATATGAAATAGCAAACCAAAGCTCAGAAGCAGACTTTGTGATTTTTGATCATAATTTGATTATATTTTGCAGCATTTTCAGAGTTGGCTTGCTGTTTGTGTGTTTCTTTGGGGTTTTTTGATACTGCATTTGATCAGAGTGAACTTGCGTCTGTGTTATGTTTAGACTCAGCCGGCAGGATGTCATAAACCGGACCAAAAATATTTGACTGGCAAATGAGTTGTGGACTAACCCCTCAAGAATGCACAGAAACTGGTTTGACCAGCTTGAAGTCTTACAAATGGTCAACCCTGATTGAAAATAACGCAGGCATTCACGTAATGGTTGCAAAGCCTTATTGGTAACTCAGTCAAATCAAAGTAGATAAATCAGTAAATGCATATCTTCTGTACGTCGATACAGTGTGTCCAGGTCAGCTGTAATACTAACTGCTGACTGAATATTACAGTGAGTGTTGGGAGAGACGTTTCAGATAAAATCCTCAGTTGAAACCTGTGAAGAACAAT